GACTCCCACCTGTAGGCGGACTCGTCCCCACAAACTTCAGGAGCTTGACGGACTGGTGACTGGAGGTGCAGTTATTACAGTTGTATAAAATATAACTACTGATTAAAAGGAAAACATAAAAGAATGTTCATCAGCCTATGGCGGTGTGTTTGTGTTCGAGTTTGTTTGTACGGCCCTCTCCTCTCTCTCCTCCATCCGGACCCCATCCTGTCTTCTGAAGGTCTCCTCCCTGCTCCACCCATTTTGTCCCCCCACAGCCTCTGGTCCACGTGTCTATTTGTCTCAGGAATACACATAAGAACAAACAGGTTTTAGATACTTCAATATCATCATCTTCGTATTTAGTATTTTCTTTCTTTTGCTCTTTTTCCATTCTCTGCTCCTCTTGCTGCTGGTGTAAACTCATTGGTCTTGGGACTGGTACTTGTTGTTAACCAGTCACTCTGTCCGATGTGGTGTAGCTGGACGCTGAAGTTCTGGCTTTGTTCAATGCAGACACGAGGTGTCTGGGTTTGCGATGGGGACTAAGGAGGTGGAGGAGGACGTGACCTTGTGGATGGAAGCCGGAGAGCGAGCTTCGCCTCCCGTGTATCACTAACCAAATCAGGAGGATTGTTTCACATTATATCCCATCTTGTTATTCACTTTTACCGTCTCTTCTTACTCCCTCCTCCTTGCGCAACTGCGCCTCGTTTGACCGTGGCTTTGCCTCAGTTAAACCGTCTTTTCTTTCCCTGAATTTCCCTTCCATTTGTGCTCCATTTCACCCCGTCAGAAGCTGACATTTCGCAAGGGTCAACTTCCCGTCAAAACCATATTGATATTTCCACCTTTTTAAGTGTTTTAACACTCCTCTCATTTACGTTCTTTGATCTCCCTCCAAGGGATCATCCGCACCTTTTTTTGCCCCATCTTTTATTATTATTAATATTATTTATTAGCACTTTTAACTAAAGCTATTTTCTGTTTTTACAACTTACTGACACGGATACAGAACCGACTGATTTACGGTTCTAAGGTTTACTGTCGCGGCCCAACAGAACCAACCAATCTTTATATTTTAGGACCCTATAGGTCCCCACGGTAAATAGATTTTTTGATATTTTGTTCATACAATTTGACAAACGCAAGGTTTAAACATCACAACCGCAGTGTCCAGTTCCCTGGACCACTTCGTCCAAAGGTTACGGGTAGAAACCCATAGAACATTTTTTTTAAAACTCCTGAAGACAAAAACGACCACTGCTCCCAAATATCCAAAGAGACTGAAGAGAGCCTTCACATCTTCAGACTCCTCCACTAAAACACTAACGAACCGTAGCACTTAAATTGTACTTGTAACGCCGCTTATCTACAGCAAACTGTAAATTGGCTTATTTGAGGAAATTGCACTTTGTTGTGTCTTGTTCTTCTGAGTTTGTGTCCCTATGGTTGAAATGCACTTATTGTGAGTGGCTTTGGATTGAAGCGTCAGCTACATGACATGTGACACGCGTCACACAGATCTCACGTCCCGAGCGGTCATTGACTTATTGTACTTATTGACTTCCTGACGTGTCATCATCACCTACAACCGGTAGTTGCACATATTGTGTAATACGACTGGTCGTGAAGTACTACTTTCACTTGAGCACAACGTCTTCCTTGTTTACTGACGACTTCTCTAAAACACTGGACACACGGACACCATTCTACGTACATATGTTTATTAAAAGATGCATTTGCAGTCACACCGTTAGTATAAAAATGGAGACGATAAAATGTTCATCAACAACATTAGACCTGCGAAGGGCTTCTGCCCCCAGTGATTCAACATGAATGAGCAAGAATCGGATGGATTCAGCTTTCGCAAGAGTTGCTGGTAATGAAGACACGTAGCAAGGCAATGCTACGTGTCATTTCTTGCTACGTGTCATTTCTTTATTTTTTTGTTTAAATGACTCCACTGTCTGCGGAGGATTTCCGCCCCAGCCGGGAGATCTGGAGTCACGGGGGTCAGGAGGCAATGGGGCACTTGCAAGATGCCTGGCGAACAAACAAAACGGGGAAGAAGGGGTCAAGTTCACAGTGTAAATGGAGGCAGGATTTCATCATGGGGACCAGGCGGGATCAGGTGGAGGTGGAGATACTGCGAAAATGAAGATGTGTGGCGATAATGTGCTCGGGAAACGTTCCAACCTTTGCAAAAGTAGACGTGATGTATAATGTGAACTGAGAGCAAAACAAGAAGAACGTTTGGGAGAATGAGGAACACACACACCTGTTTGTTCATGTTGGATGTGTGTTGGATCTCAATAGAGTCGCCCGTTTCATTGAGGACGACACGCTTTTCTCCCTTTTTTAGGCGGAGGCATCTCTTGGGTGTGACCACTGTTTGCAGATGGTAATGGTCCGAGTGAACGTCTTCCCTCTCAAACCAATAAGCATCAGTCAACGACGGTGGATTCTTCTCCAACTGTGAACAAACAAAACACAAAGGATTATGCGTTAATTTACTGCAAGCGTCCGATCGATTTCAAAGATATTTTACACAGTTTTTTTTGTTCTATAGATTTGGAAATACACCTATTTACGTTATCATAAAGCATGAGTTATATGAATGTATTTACTATCAACTGTTCTCCGGACACCATTGGGTGATAGCAACCATCTTTTCGCTTGAAACCAAAAGCAAACTGATCTCTGATGTCTCTCGTTCTTCGATGCAGGGACAGCAAAGGAGCTGAGGAAGGAAACAGACGGAACATCTGTGAGTCGAAACAGTGTCCATCCTAATCCATAATCATTCGCTATCCGATTAAAATGAAGATGAATCGGTTCTTTTGCATAAAAGTTATTTAGTTATATTGAAACCGTTACAATCAAACAGCTTTACCGTTTTTTTCCTCATTTTGAACCGCAATGAAACACAGCTCCAGCTTCGGTAGTGATTTGACCGTCAAATACTCCCCGTTTTTATTCTTCAGGGATACGCTTTCCGGGGTCATGCTGCCTCTTCAGTGGCGTCCTGGTGGGAGGGAGAGGAGAGAAAAGGCGTCAGCTGCGGTGGTCGCACGAGGAGCTTCTCTGAAGCAGATGTTGTGGATTCCAACCAGATGCAGCGGCGGGAACGCGCGCTCCGTTTGCGGCGCGTCGACTGTCTGAAGCTCCACTTTCAAGCACAGATGTGTTCGACAATCCCACTTCAAAATGTAAGCTCTACTGCCTTGGAACAACGTTCGCGACTCTTCAGCCGGTTCACGACCTCCCGCTGACCTCTGCTGTCATTGCCAAATGCATCAAATGCGGAAGTTCTGCCAATAAATAAACGAGTAAACTGAAATCCTGTCCAGGATTAAATGCAACATTAAATTAGACAATTCTTCATATGTTTCCCACGTGACGTCTTAACGTATATAATCACGACAGCTGTCAGATAAATGTAGTGAAAGATAGTGGAGTCTAAGCACAAAATGCCATCCGATTTGAAACAAGTGTTGCCACGTTCATTTAGCAAAATGTCTGTTATCTCGAATAAAGGAGTAAGTGCTCTGCGCGGTGCCAACTCCTCTGGGTTAAAGTCCCGTTTTATAAACACCGGATATCTCATTTGATGATTGTGTCTCGTTTATTCTGGCAGCAGCTCCTCGGTGCAAAAAAAAAAACCCACACACACACAAAAAAACACCAAAGCGCACGAAAAAATTGGATCAATTGGACGCCTTTCATTGGCGCAAATGAACGAGGTGAAAACATCTGCCGCTGCAGAGCAAAGAGCGACGCGCGAAGACGCAACCGGGCGCGCGACAAGAGTCCGAGGGTCACTCACCGTCGGTGATGCGCGAGTCCTGCACAGCGCGTCGGGTGCCGTGCGGAGCGCAGCGGGACACCTTTAAATAGGCGCAGGCGCACCCACCGTGACGCCGATGCGCCCCCTGCATGCCCTCGAACGTCCGCCGATGCGTTGACAGGCACGACGCGCACACTCCTCACGCACGGCGAAGCTCCTACCCACTGCGCAATGTGACGTCAGAGGGACGTCTTTTCTAGGTAATTTTGGACGTCCAATTTTGGGCCACTGAAGGGGTTGTTTTGTAACCTACATATAAATGCTATTTATAGTACAAAAGGAAATCGAACACGCTGAATCGTGCCAAATGTCTGGCGTGTTGCCTTGACCGAGTGGCATCAGTACATGGTGTTGCTTCAGCCAATCAGAGTGACGTTAACTGGTTTTTACATTACATTTAGCAGACGCGTTTATCCGAAGCGACTTATATTACACTTTAAACCCATGGCTTTTTCACATTTTTGCCTGGGGGAGCAATTAGTGTCAGCAATTAGTCAGGCGTCTTGCTCACGGACACTTCGACATGGAACACGAGGCAGCCTGGAATATTGTGCACCAACCTTGTGCTTCCCTGCACACCTTCTCTAACCCCTGCGCCAAGACGACGTTGTTGGTTATTTTGAGATCGGTGGCCATCGCCCCCCCCCTCTTGGCTACTTCAAATGTATTTATTAATTTAATAAAATTATTATTTTTTTATTATTAGTATTGTTCAGTAGGTTTTTTTCACTAAAACAGGAAAATTACCCACTGAATAAACAAACAGGCATGCACATATTAAATCATGTTTCTGAATAATATAGGATATTCATATCATGAAACATGTTGATATTTGTAAATAAACAGCCGTCCACAAAACTTGGTCATGGACCGACGGACCCAATATAGACATGATGTCTATCCGACTATCCGTCTATCCGACGTCCAAAGTTTAGTGGGTATAGATGTAATATTCCGGTGAATGGTACGAAAGTGCTGGAGTCATCATATCCAGGGTGAAGGACTGTATTTAACACGACTACACACTAATAACTCTTTGATGAGATGTGCGATGTAACTGCACACCAGTGTCACACTTATTGGTTAAATTGTTGAATTGCAAACACTGCGTTGAGTGTTGATTTAACACTGACGGGATTGGGACAAGATAAACGCCAGTTTAGAATTCAAATTGAATCTGACAGTTAAATTTATTCAATTTAATTCTGAAAATTGCTGTGCGCCAAAGCGCGTCTCCCAGAGCCAAAATGAAGTGTGTTTTTTGTGTGTGCGGCTTTTCCTAATGTAGTGGAATTAGAACCGGTCCTCGTTTGGGCAATACATGGATTCAAGATTATTGACAACACAGAGAAAGTAATCAAATCATCACAAACGAATCGCCAAACAGGGACTGTCCATAATGACCCGCTGTATATTGTGGTCTGTCGGCCGGCGTTGGCTGAGAGACTCCATGTGTGCAGGATAAGCGGTTTGCAGACGGATGGAACTCCCAAACAGCATTCAAAATAAAGTCCCACTGCACACACACAAACACACACACTCACAAACCGGCACAATACAATGCAATCTGCATATTTGCATTAAATGCACAGAGCGCTTTGGGAAACGCTGCCCTCCGGCCGCGGGGGGGAGGTCCGTTTATTAAGAGTTGATTGACACATTAAGAAGGGAAACAAGGTTAAAAAAGGGCTGAGCTGGTCCAACGCACCAACGCCTTCATCTGTGCCTCACAGAAGACGTGAAATTCCCTCTAATTCCTAATTTACCACGGATTAATTAATCCGTGGTAAATTAGGAATAAACAAGGTTTTAGACACATCAAAGTAATCCATGTGACATTCTAGCTTTCATGCAATTATTCAATGAGTTTGGTCGAACATTTTCCTTTTAATTACTAGTTATACTTAGTATGAATAGGAAAAACTGCAATAACGTTCCACCTTCGTGCTCTCACATGCAGGCACATTGTGTTGCGCGTTATCTGATAATACAAATGGTTGTGCGTTAATGTTTAACGGACTTTATCTATTTTTAGATCATTCATTTCTGTATCGTGATTTAAACACCTCGCAGTTCCTATAAGTAATTGTTATGATGGACACGTAACGTCCGTGGTGTAACGCTCATTCCTGGGAGGTTTTCAGTCTTTTTCTTTAACAGATTTCTTCCTTATTTTCGAGTTTTTGTTCTGCGACAGGTAAAAGTCTTTGGGAGCAAAGGATCTCTGCATGTTCATAGTCACGATTAGACTGTGGTGGATAACAGATGGTAAATGTGCACATTACATTATAAGGCATATTGTGTGATTATTATGTAAACAAGAGAGTGGAGTGTAATGGAAAAATGTATCCCGTCTCCCTTGAGACGGTTTCATTGAATGCAGCCGGTTCAACCAGCAGGTGCTGGGATGGCGAGGCCGTGACGCACGACTGAGCTGGAGTGTCTCACACCGATAAAGACGCCAGTTTTGGTTTGGAGAAGAACTGCCTGGTCCTGTTGTGCGAGGAGGAAGGTTCTTCCCCTTGCAAGGAAATCAACGGAGAAATACAGGAGTCTTCTTCTACCGATACTGATTTTCTGTGCGAAAATCTTCCGCCACACCCAATGAAGGCACTGAAACAGCTACTGGTGACAAATAGACGTCTGGAGGATCGACCGCCAATGGTCGATACGTGCAGCAACTCACGGGCCCCTTTTCTCCCCCGTGGACGTGTTGAGACGTAGGGAAGGGGGCGTTGATGAGTCACGCGATCAGCTCTTCATACATCGATCCAGCCTCGCAAAGATACGGCATCGGAAACGGACACTTAAACGTTCTAAAACGCTTCAATAAATACAAAACTTTGTGGCTACGCCGTCTGCGTGAGAGCAGCTGTTGCGTACGAGATCCCTCATGCTGAAGATAAACAAGCACAAGGTTTATAGAGTTTGAAAAAAAAAAAAAACATTATACTATGTACAAAACACGATATGACTAAAAGAGAGAGAAAACAACAAGCGTCTTTATACGCGAGTGAGAGGAATCCATTTCTTTACTCTCTTCCCCGGGATGGAACTACTCGGCGTCGTCGTAGACCAGCCGGACGAACACGCGGTCCTCCAGCGCCTCGTTCTGCCGGTACACGTACATCGGCGCCTGGCACGCCCGCCCCGCCCCGCCCCCCTCCTCCTCCTCCTCCTCGCCCTCCTCCTCGGAGATCAGGTCGCTGTAGGAGGCCACGCAGACGTCGTGGTCCTGGAGGGCCGCCGGGTATCGCAGCGAGGACCTCTCGATGCGCACCGAGCGCCGCACCGGCGTGAGGAAGCGGACCTCCTGGCCGTTGACCCGCGCCGGCTCCGCCTGGTGGCTCAGAGCGCCGCTGAAAGAAAAGATCAACATGAATAAAGATAAATAACCGACTCTTGGCTTCACGATGACGTCTGGAGATCACTCGCTCTTGTGACGTTGCTTTGTTTCTTCACTGGATTGATTGATGGGGTCACTGCCTCTCATCTGATGGAGAGATGTCAGGAGGAGACTGTTGGAGGTCCTCGCCCCCCTCCCCCCTCTCAGTCCTAACTACGTAGGTCACTGAGCCCTGTGATGGAAAATCACCGACTCAATTTACCAATTGCTCTTCTCTGCTGCGTTATTTCTTTCTAAAAAAAAACCCAGCGATGAGGTGACGTGAGACTGAGGCGATGATGATTCACTTCAGTTCACCCGTCTCTGATCGTTTACAATATACACTCACGTCATCAGGTCTTTCTGTAACGGTCTAATGTCCCGAACAGCTGATCTGCTGGGATTCGCACACACAACCCGAGGAGGGTCCGAAGAAGAGAAACCGTCTCGTTGACCCGAGAGGTCAGAAGAGAATGGGCCGGTTGGCTCCAGATGACCGAGGCAAATTTTATAAAAAATGACCCCGCCGAACTGCATGCTGGGTACAGCTCACAACCCGTGGAACCTGGGAGAGCGGGCTCACCAAAATAGGGCAATAGAACATTAGAGAAATGTTGCAACATGGTTTGCAGTGTAGCAGAATCTTCGGGTCACGTGAACACGTGTGTGAGTGCAGCTGGAGCAGCTCCGCCCCACAGGGAAAGCGAGTAACCATCAGGCACTCGTGCAGTTTGATTCGGGTCTTTTGTGCTCATTGCGACCTTTGGATGAGTGTAAAGGCAGAAGGGTTCAGTTTGTCCGCTCCGAGTTGCCGTAGAAACGACTCCTTTCCGAAAAGACGGAACACTAAGATTCTAATTTTTATGTGACTATAAACAAATGAAGACATAGTTATGAATATGATCTAATTATTATTATTATTATAATATATTATATTATCTCTCTATTATTTCAATTTAAATCCACAGGGTTCATAGATCAACGGATCGATTGACAGATACATTTAAATGGCACTAACGCAGCACTTTAAGAAGCAGGTGGATTCAAGTCAAATGTGCACAAGTCCCCCAAAAAGTCTTTTATTTCAAGTCTGGAAGTGTTGGAAGCGAGTGGAACGAACCCGGGAGTCGACGTGATCTTGTACTTGACGACAGACGAGTCTCCCCTCTCCCCACAGATCAGAGCTCGGGCGGGTCGGGGGGGCGTCGTTGGGTTCCTGATCCTCTCCGGACCGCTTTCACACGCCGGAGTTGCGTCTTCCTCTTCCTCACCTTCCGCCGATGCTGACAAAAAGAAAAGAAGAGCGAATCCGAGTGAACGCTTTGGATGAAAAAGACAAAAAAAAATAAACCTCAAACGGAGACATTTCCTGCTTGGAAAAGTCCGCAGGAGGACATTTAACTCTGTAACTTTGTGCTTCTTCCCTTCAATGTTGCACAAAATGATGTGCTTATTAAGTAGTGTTCAATAACGTTTTCCTGTTGGATAAAAGATGAAACCAAGGACGCACACGAGCCTCTTCCCGGTGAGTCGACTCACATCTGTTACCATGGACACCCCCCCCCCCCACCCGGGACCCCCGGGGTCAAGAGACGTGCGGCCACCTGACGCGTCACGTGGCCTCGATCGCATCAGATACGCGTCTGTGAGTCAGTGTTAATTTCGTCGACGAAAACTATGACGAAACATTTTCGTTAACGAACCTGTTTCCCACGACTAAGACGCGACCAAGACGTGACCCTAAATTCGCCCGCAGCTGACAGACCGGCAAAGTACGGCGGTTATTAACGCGTCACGATGACGTCATCCGCGAACCCAGAACGCGCGCTCGCAGCGGTGGTTCTTGTCTCGGGTTAGCTGACTGTTAGCAGGATGAAGCCGCGCTGCTTCACAGAAACATGAAGACGCGTTTAAATACTGTCGGACCTTTCTGCTCTGTTCTCTGGCGACGGCAGGCAGCGTTTCCTCGGTGGATGAGACGCTCCGTCACAAACGCGTCTAACGTAACAAACTCATTGCAGGTTCTGAAGCCAAGAAAATAATGTATTGCACCGATTGTAGGACGTTAAGGTCTCTTTTGTTGGGACAGTGGAAACAATAAAGGAGCATGAAGTTTCAAAAGCGTTGCAAGTAAACAAAGACAACAAAGTGTTGCGTTTAGGTCCCTGGTCCTCATCAAGTTGTTACACCTTTGCCAATTTGTTAAATTGCCTTATAAATAAATGCTTTGCTATTTGTTAAAATCCAAATCCTTTCATGTAATGATTTTTCACATGTCATTTATATCAGCTCACACAAACACTTCCACCATTTGTTCTTGGCCCGGCTCCTCCGTCACGTTTTACAACCCACTGTGGCCCGCGAGTCAGAAAGTTTGCAGACCCCTGCTATAGACCTGTCCTAGGAGGGACATCTAACGGACAACCAAGTACTGCAAGCTGGACTATTATGCAGTTGTAGACACAACACAGGGGGTCCCTGGGCCTGAGACGGTAAGAAAAGGAGTTTAATATGGCTGTTAAATGTGACTAAAACTAATTACATTTTAGTCGAGTTTTCGTCGATGAAAACTAGACTAAAACTAGTTTTCTGACTAATGACTAAAATGCATTTTTCGTCTAAAGACTAAGACTAAATCAAAAATAGCTGCCAAAATGAACACTGCTGTGGCGCGGCGATGCTAGCGGGCCGCGGGGGGCGGAGCTACCTTTGATCTCGTCCCTTTTCTTCAGGATCTGGAACACGACGGTCCGCAGCTCGTCCAGCGGCTGCGACGGAACGCGAGCGCGCAGCAGGAAAACATCAGATGAAAAACAGTTTACAATTTCATTCACAGGACAAAGTAGTAACTCCGTTTTGTTCGTGTTGCATGAACTGGTGCTCACATTATAGTTGTTAATGCTGGCCGAAAAATACTTTTACGTCTCTATAAAAACATTTCATATACAGGATGGCAAAATGTCGTATTGCTTCACAACAGGTCTTTAGAAATGATTTAGTAATTAGGTGATGAGTCGTCAGCGAGTCAGTGACAGCGGTTCCCAGCCGGTAGATATCCAGATGAGGATGACTCACCTCTAACACAACGCCGACGGCCTCTTCAAACACCGGCAGGACGTCCAGGTGGCCGTCTCGCTCCATCAGCCGGGCCCGACAGATCCAGTACTTGGCGAACTTCCTGGACACCGGCGGCAGCCGAGAGAGAACCTCCCTCACCTGGTCTGTAGGGAAACCCTGCGGGTGGGAGGAAAGGACCGGGTCAAACCCTGCAAACCCGATTATACGGAGCCCCCCCAGCACGGAGAAGGGCTTCACTCTGCGGAACCGTACCTCTTCCAGCAGCTTGATGCAGTCGGCCAGGGACCTGTCCACGGCCCCGATGAGGGAGCGGGCCTCGTCTTCCTCACTCATGGAGCCCCAGAAAGGCTCGGCCACGGCCACGGTGCGCCTGACCTGAGGTTTGACCGGCATCGGGGGCCGCTTGTAGGAAATGCCTCTGGCCTCCCGCCACTCATGGAGCTTTCTCCTTCACAACAGAAAAAATAAAATAAACGCAAAGTCCATATTTTTATGACATTTGTATTTTTCACTTCACCGGGAAGCACAAGGCAAGGCAAGGCAATTTTATTTGTATAGCGCTTTTCATACACAAGGCAGACTCAAAGTGCTTCACATTATAACATTTCATACAATAAAGTGAAATAAAATGCAGGAATTAAAAGACAATTAAAAACAGCAAATAAAATTATAAATTAAAATCTTATTTAAATTGTTTAATTAAAAGCAGCGGTTAAAAGTGCAATGTAGGTAAGAATTTAGCAGAAGGCGAAGCTGAACATAAAAGTTTTCAGTCTTGTTTTAAACGTGGTCAGAGTTGAGGGCAAGTCTTAAATCTTCAGGAGGTTTATTCCAGCTGTTTGTTGCGTAGTAACTAAATGATGCTTTCCCATGATGTGTATTTACTCTGGGAATCACTAACAGATTGGTGTCAGAAGATCTTAGTGATCTTGAAGGCTTATGTAGTGGAAGCATATCAGTGATATACTTTGGCCCTAAAGCATGTAGTGATTTATATGTGAGCAGTAGGATTTTGAAATTAATTCTCTGACATACTGGGAGCCAATGTAAGGATTTAAGAATTGGTGTAATGTGCTCACATGTTTTGGTCTTTGTTAGAACTCTAGCAGCAGCGTTCTGAACAAGCTGGAGCTGCCTGACAGTGTTTTTTGGAAGACCTGCAAGGCGACCATTACAATAGTCTAGCCTACTAGTTATAAAGGCATGTACAAGTGTTTCTAAGTCTTGAGCTGACATGAGCCCTCTAAGTCGTGCGACATATTTGAGGTGGTAGTAGGCTGATTTTGTTACTGATTTGATGTGACTCTCCAAGTGTAAATCTGAATCCATAATAACCCCCAGATTTCTGGCTTTATTCCCTGCACAGCAGGGAAAGACACACAACGTGAGGGAAGAGGGAGGTGGAACGACCGAGGACAACGTTCCCAGCCGGCTGCATCTGGGGTCCAGCTGGCCGAGGCTACATTTAAGCTCTCTGGAACACTGTGTCTTGGAACTTAGCCAGAAGGCTTCTTGGAAATCGAAAATTAGAACGAATCAACGCTCAGTGAGCAGCAGAATGGGCGACGTTACCAAACGCTCCCCAACAGGCCTGCACGTTACTCAGCGATGCCCACTCATGAATCAAATGAATATCGAAATAGTAAAACGTAACTGCTTCTTGTGAGACACACACAGACCTTCCGTACAGTCACCGCTCTTCTGTCAGTCAAACTAACTAACGCGTACCGATGTTGTTGTGCTCTGCTACTCACACTCGGTCCTCCTGGGCAGCAGTCACTTTCCTCCCCTCCGTCTGGGGCACGACCCTCACTGGGACCTTCGGCGTCTTCGTATTCGTGGCGTGGCCGGTGTGGCTGATGGGCCTGTTGGGCCGCGGCACCGTCTGGGACACCCCCAAAGCACCCGTTCGTCTTGAACCGGTTTGTGCCGGAGGGCCCATCGCTGAACCGCGGCCCCTTTCGGCGTCTGTCCCGCCACACGTCCTGTTTTTTTCAGCCCCGCCGGCCGCTCTGGAACCGCACCCGCTCGCTGGCCGGGACGATGTTTGGGGGGCGACCTGGCTTGGTTGCCTCTCTTTCTGCCCCGTAATGGCAGATGTGTGCGTTGTGGACCTTCCTGCGGGCCGACCGGCTGCCGCCGCCCCGCCGCCTTGTGGCTTCAACGGGGCCGCCGTGGACCTCGGACCACTTGATGGTGGAATCTTAGACGGGGGCCGAGACGCTCTACTCAGCAGTGGTTTAGAGTTGCATTTGCCCTGATTTTGAACTTTAACTTTTGCCCCCTGGTTATTGTTAAGGGAAGTGGTTCGTAGCGGTTTGCTCTGAGTCACGGTGAACTTCTGGGACACAGAGACGGACGCCCGCGTGCTGGATTGCATCTTTTTGGTGGTTGTATCGGCCGCTGTGGCCGAGGTGTGCGTAAAGTTTCTGTGCCTTTGAACGTCACTGGGCTGAATCGCCGCAGGAACTAGTCCCGTTTTTGTTTTGACCATGGGGCCGAGACTCATCCTGACACTGACCGCCGTCATTGGACGAGGCCACGAAGCCTTCGAGCTACTGTTGAGTCGGCTGTTTGATTTGGTTGCAGCTGCACCAGATGCATTTGAAGAGGCTCTGCCGGAAGACGGTATTGGGTGCCCGTTCTTTGCCCCCGTGTTTGGGCGCTTCTGGAGATGACTCGCTGCAGTCGGGTTGGATCCAGAGGACAAAGCTGTCGCCGTTCTTGTCGGCAGATGATTTTGACAACGTTGGGCAGAGCCACCGGTTGTAGACGGTTGTTTGGCACCGTGCCGTCCAGTCAGATTGTTGGCCGATACGCTCACTTTACGTGAGTCACTAAATCTTTTTTGAGTTTGAATTTTTGTGCTCTCATGTGTGAATCTGTCAGCTGGAACCTTGTTCTCTTTGTCCGAAACCACCTATAATAATAATAATAATGATAACACGATTAGGAAGAATATGGGGGAGATGAAAACTATCTCAACCTGACCAGATAAATATACACTTTAACCCGCAGAAGCATACGACTACAAAACCCACCTCCAGTGCAGACGGCACGGGCTTCTTAACCAGACAGTCGGCGCGTAGGTATGGCCTGAGGACGTAGATTGAGAAGATTAATTATACGTTGTTATGAACACATTGCTTTCAGCCGTGAAGTTACAGTTTGGTTCTTACTTTGGGTTGGGCGGTTTCCACTTTCCTTTTGCTGACAAGTATTCCATCAACTTTTGCTTACGCAACTCTGCAACAGATTAGAAAAAACAGGAGATGAATACATTGCGTTGTAATTACACATTGATCTCTCTGGCCGCCCCAGAGTGCACAGTGAAAGTGCGCAGTGCACGTGTCATGGTTGGGGAATTTATTTGAGTAATTGATTAGTAATACAACAAAAATACTGAACTAATATCCAGACACGATGTGTGAATGTGAGTGTGAATGGTTGTATGTCTCTGTGTGGCCCTGCGATTGGCTGGCGACCAATCCAGGGTGTACCCTGTCTATCGCCCAAAGTTGGCTGGGATGGACTCCAGCCCCCCCGCGACCCTGTGTGCAGGATAAGCGGTTTGACGATGGATGGATCCAGACACATGCTGTAACCCATAATAAACGTGACTACTGTCACCTTGTAGATCTAGAGCTCTCTTTAGTTGTACTGACTAACAAATCCAACATGGCACATCATGTACAAATACTGTTCAATTCCCCCTCACTGGAGGCAACGGGCAGAAAATCAAGAGTCTGCTGAACTGTGTCACACAGGCGATGATTGTTCTCAGACACGTGCTGCCATCTGGCTGCAGGTCGGGAGACGTGAATCCGGCTTTAAAAAAAGGATATCTGCGGCTTTTTGGACCATTTTAAGAACAAAAGATTAATATACGAAAACAATGCGTTTAATAATTTGGGGATTAAATTCCATTTATGTGAACCGCTGAATCTACTTGTGTGAGAAGTCTCATGTTAGTCAACTTTGTTTCATTATGCCCAACTTTGAATAGCTGCTATTTAAGAATAAACGAATCACACTACCACAGGGGCGCATTTTATAATGACAATACTTTCATTAGTGCATCGCAGCGTTACGGCCTTGTTTATACCGCCCTGTTGTAACGTTAAGTTAGCATCACAATGAGCGCATAACTCAGTCACTGAGAACTGTTAAGTGCAACGAACATATCTTCCACGAGGGAAATTATTAAAACTAACAAACCAATACGATCACATGAATTCATTTGACATTAGAATTATTCCTGGCTGTAATTAACACGTAACGTAACGTTAACGTTGCGTAAATTAGCCTTCAGCACATAGCTAACGCTAACTAGCGTTAACACACTGAATTTAACGGTAAGCTAGCATTCACTCGCTAACCTTTTCGGGAGACCTTCGTAACGATTTCTTTTTCCTCCATGACTATCAGACAACAGTTCTATTTTCTAGGATAGATTGTTTGTTATAAATCGACTATTTGTGTTTGTTTGGCAGGTTAAAGTAACGTTAGCTCCATAACAACTGAAACCGCGCATCCGGTTTTGAAACTGCCGGGTGGTCACGCCTCCTCTTCTCTGATTGGACAGTTTGAAATTTCAAAAAAATGCGCGCATGCGCTCAAGCGCAGCGCTGATTGGTGCAGAGAATATAAACAACTCGGGTACAAATTGAACGGGTTCTCAGAGGAGAGGTTTGTGGAGCTGCAGAGTAATATTTATTACATTATTGGATCATAATTATTGGATCGTAATTATTGGTCCATTAATGACTTTTGTTAGTAATTGTTATATTACTAAGAATATTTTTAATTAGTAACTATTTTAATTACTATTTACATTACTGTTTGATTACTTTCTCAAATAAAAGCTAATTATAATCAGTAACATTTTCCTCTGATGAATATACAAAGTCTTGTCACAAATGGGGTACAAGTACTACTATAATTGGACAAGGACAACTCAAAACTCAAAGATTAGCCTGCTCTGATCAGCAGAGCAGGCTAATCTAAAAAGGAAAGTCACAAAAAAAGAACATCAGCATGGAATTTTAAAATAAGAAAGGAAATAGACAATCAAAAAAGTTGTAAAACTCAGTCAGAGATTCAGATTGTGGGACTATTGTTAATTATCTTTTATTTGATATTGTTTTTAAAAAATGCTTGGGTTTGGTCAGACATATTACATTACAATACAATACATGTCATGTAGCTGACGCCAATTTCATCAAATAAGCCAATTTACAATTTGCTATAGATAAGTGGCGTTACAAGTACAATCTAAGTGCTACAATTTGTTTAATTGTACAATTAATTGTACAATTAATCAAATCTTCCTCGTTGGTACAGCTGTTAAATGAATGAGCAATTTGATGAAACGTGCATTAGGTAGAAGTATGAAGTATTATGAAATGAAAATACTGTACAACACTTCAGCTAAAAATCACATCAGAGTTACTGTCTCTAGGACTGGACTACGGCTAAAGTCTATTGGGAAGACTGAATAAATATAAAACACAAATCAGAATAAATTATACGGCTTTGTTAAATATTTCACTGCGACAATTGCACACTTCAAAATAAATACATATTAAAACGCTGCATACATAGATAAAAGCATAAGTGCATTCAGCACAATAAATACACTGTGTGTTCACCAGACAAGCACAACGATGCCATCTTCTGGTGAAACTTGACTCAAATCAACGCACGAAGCATTTCACTTTCTGTACTCGGTACATACAGTAAATAGGATCTTTGTAATACGTTTTCCCCAACGGGTCACTCTTAAGGCCTGGGAGCAGAATCCACTCTGGGGGCGCTTGACCGCTCCACCTCCTCCCGGATGCTGAAGACCTGGGAGCGCGGGGACGTCTTCAGGCACATCGCCAGCGGCTTGTTGTCCTGCCTGTTGTCCGTGCTGATGTACCAGTTCTGGTAGGCCACGGACATGAGGGTGGTGTTGTTCACCCCGGTGTCCTGTCGGTAGAAGAGGAACCTCACCAGGTCGCTGTTCACGCCGATGCTCGTGTCCGCCCCGCTCAGCGTGCTTCTGTCCTCAACCGCCTGCGGAATAAAGATGAAGGTTCAAGGGTCACTGCGTTACAAAGCGCGCGGCGAGCATCACGCGTCGATGAGCCGCGGGTCGTTTTTTTTTACCTCCAGGTGCAGAGTGGGCTCGGCGCCGTCCTTGCGGCAGCACAGGTAGAGGTTTGTGCCCCGGATGCCCAGAGCCACCGTTTGGCCCGGCACGCTCGGCGCAGGGTGCAGGTACGCCGACATGGTCATGAGCACTGAGGAGAGGATGGAGGTTGATTAGTCCCTCAAAGCTGAAAGACTTTTGTGTTCACGTTCGTATTTGTGCAGGAAAAACTACTTTGAGACAGTTAAACATTGTACTTTACACTCCTGTGTTAGATCATGCTGTATGTTTTATTGTTTCATCTATCAGTGTTTAAATGGTACTTTGTGTTATTTTTGGGCCTCTCGCCTAATTACAGTTACAGTTTTGTGAATGATTATCTCGCCTCTCTTCTAATCACCTTTTTTGGCCTCGGAGCCGCCCTGCAGCATCACCGCGTGGAGCTGCATGCTGTTTGGGACCCGAATTAAGCTCCTCTTCTCCTGGTCGGTGATGCTGCACTGCTGCTCGCCCGTCCAGCTGATCTGGAGATGTGGCGGCGAACTGCACAGCGTCACGATCTCCTCTGAGGGGACAAGAGACACACCTGGTTAGTGACGTTGTGAAAGGCGGCAGCGTGAACGGCAAAGGCAGCCACAGGGTTCCAGAGGAAAGCCAGAAAAGCTGAACACTGAAACTAAAACACACAAAAGTCTCCTCCGCGGGATTACCTTCCACTAAGCCGTCCAGCATGATGTTCAGCATGTCCTCGTCTCTGAATTCGGAGCTCATCAGCAACTCCGAGCCGTCGCCCTTGAACCGCTCCATGGCGATGATGAGGTTGACCACCTGCTTCATCGTCAGCGGGTGACGGGAGATCTCAAAGTCCATTCCCTGGGGCATCTTGGGGCTCCACGCGCCGCTGCCGTTGCTTTCTCTCACGGATTCCATCTTTTTGTCGAAGAAGGGAAAGTCTGCAGGAGGGAAACATTTGCAGCGTCACTTAACCACAGAACGTTCAGGGAGGAGCAGCGGGATTGTCCGGTGAACTTTTTACAATTCTGTCCCACAATTTTATAGATTTTGTATTCAACACCTCAAAATAGCGTTTGCTGTGTTACTCAGAGTTGTGAAGGCTACGGAGCATCTGGAACTCGATACTTCATAAACACCAAACACGAAGACACTCCAGAGATGTTAAATAAACCACACTGAATGTGTCCTTTCAAAGTAAGAAAAGCAACATTCCCGTTTAAAATCCGCTCCACGTCAAAACAACAAAAACACTGGAAATCATTTTACCTGTTAAGTCAGTAGATAAGAAGTTGTTTCGGGTGTGTCTGGTAGATCGCAGCAGTCCTGCAGTCACTGGTGTTCTGCCTGCCTGTGCCGACCTGCTTGGTTTTTATACACGCAGCCGTCGAGGGAATTTCCTTTGATGGGAGGAAGTGGGACGGTCCTACAGACCGTGATGAAATACTGTAGTCTACTTCGTGTTGAGAAATTCACCTCTGAATCTTAAACCAACTATTTTGTTTATTTCATCCGTGCAAAAAGTGCGAGAAAAATAAATTTGTCGCTTTTATGGGTAATCTAGGCATATTTAGGACCCTTGTGAAACAGCGTTAATGGTGTTTTCTCCCTTCAGTTGTTGTACATATTAAACAAATGAGACACAAGTAGTCGCTTTAAAGCTGCTGGTCAGGTGGAGTTTGGTAATCTTCCGTCAGATGCTGTAGAGAGGTGCTGCCCTTTGGAGTAAATTTAGTCTATTCTCATATATTACTATAGTTGAAGACTATAAACTAGATTAAATGAAACATCACAATGATATGAAAAAAGGGAGAACATCTGGTTGTTAAAAGCTGCTGCAAAATCAACATAGAGTGTAAATCTTGACCCTGTATTTAAACGCCTGTAATAATAATAATTACACATAGGAATGATTAAAGCTGACAATTAGTCACAACTGGATAAAACCGGTTTTATTCAGGAGAAATACAAATATCCTTCTAAACGTAGGTCACAGTTTCCAAATGAATTGTCACACAGTCTTGTGGTCTGCACCTGAACCTCCTACGTCTTAGAACGAGCCTTTCGGAGTTTTGCTGTTTCTTTTGATGAAGTCGAAATGTCCAGCAGCAGCACAAGACGCACTTTCTGTTGAGAGTTGCATAACGGCGGCGTAATCGACATTGCTTCACTTCTCTTAACACGAAGAAGCTGCGTCAGCTGAATTTACCTCAATGTGTGCAGGAGGCCGGAATGTGATGTTATGGTGCTTGTTATGGGTTATTGCGAATTTAATTAAATTCAAAAAGTTCTATTTGTTAATCCAAACAGTATCAATTAATCCGGAGCGAATGTCTTTAATACGTTGTGTTTACAGGACGGCTGCAGTCTACCGCCATGCTGCTGGGTGCTTTAAGTCGAATGCTAACGTAGCCCACCAGTAATGTGCAAACAATGACAATGCTAACGTGCAGATCTTTAGTGTGTTTACCTTTTTTTACCTCTATGATAGTTTGGTAATAAATCACTGAGCTCAGCGAGCGGCCGGCCGCTCCTCATTAGTCTTGCTGTTGTTTTGTATTCGGTGATCAATCAAAGGATTTTCACTATTACGAAGAATTTAATAATATAATGCTAATTTTACTCCACTAGGGATGGCCAGCAGAGACTCAATGTATGTGTGTGTGTATGGGTTTTTATTGCAATTTAAATCACTAAAAAGACAACATCATATTAAAAGCAAAATAGGTTCATGCCTTATTATCTAATTTTTTTGTTAACTGTGAAGATTTGTTTCTGGGTAAAAAAAAGTTATATCATAAGACATCATAATCCCCTTTTTATGAGGGTTCTTTGATAAACATTAAGATGTGTAATGTGTTGGCCGGGGTCCCATATTAACTGTTACACCTTCCAACTGCATTCTGAGAACGCTGTTGTGGCAAAAGCAGGAAATTCCGGTTCAAGGCAGCCTGAAAAGTAATGGAAAGATCTGATTTGTCTGCAGCTGAGGTGCGTGTGAGTCTGTGCGTGTGCATGTTCCGGTGTATTTAATAGGTTGGGTCATAATTATCGTTACACGATGTTGTTCTTCTTCTGGTGGAATCACTCGGGAAAGGAAATCAGGAAAAATACAGTCTTTAAAAACAATGTGAAATTACTTTCACATCGTTTTTAGTTACATTTAAGGAAGTGAGAAAAAAAATGACACAATAGAGTTACTGAAATTTAAAAAACATATGATGCCATGTTTACTCTGATGAAATGCTAGAATGCAAAGTCATTCGTATAGTACAACACTCACTATTTTGTACACGTGGAAGTCAGAATCCACATCGATAAACATGCAGAATGTAACAGCTTTAAGAGCGTACGTCAACAGCATAATAACACTGTAACGATACCATGTTCTATAACCGAGAACAACCGTAAATTACAAATCAAAATGACTAAATGATAAATATTTACTCAGCTCCTCGTTTTATTCAACACACAATAAGATATTACAACATTAAAGTAAAACATGTCATCTATAAAACTATGATCAATGGAAAAGTTTAAAAGCAGCTCACGTTTCAAATCATGGTGGGAACACTTTGAACTGTCTTATCGAACCCTTTCCACCCAAACGTGTGACCCTGAATACACTAAAGTTTGACCTATCAGCATCATCGAAGGGACGCAGTAAGAGCCATTATGATTTGTGTAAAGAATCTGATTGAAATAGGCAAATAAATGGACTTGAATTCAACAAAACAAAGGCTACAGGACTTTCACTCATCCGTCATGGGACAACAGTCAATTAAGGTTTCCGGACAAAATGCCTCAGTGGCTTAAAGCGTAGGCCTCGACAGGCGCTGTGACACATCGTTTGTTTCAGGTAACAATGAAGATACACCGTCACCTTTACCCCACCAAAGACTTTTAGGAAGGAAGTAAATTAAAGTAAAAAGACCATATGTTAAAAGAGAAAAATGCTTCTCCTGTCATAGACGCTAACAGAGTTATAGATAATTACTTATTTTCTTTATCATAAGAGGGTAATCCATTAATTTAAAAAAAAAGATATACAAATAGAAATTGTCCTAAAGCGGGTTATTATTCAGATGTTCACTGTTTATATATACTTTACTTCTGTAATATCACTGCAACACGTTTTTCCATACATTTTAATCTATAGAATAATATAATAATACAACGCTTTCACCAGGTCCTCCTGACTTGTCACACTCACGTACATGGACCAGGTAAACTATTGCGTCTCGAGGTGATGTTGAAGATTTCAACATCTCATCTGGGACGGCGCGAGGCTGTGACGTCACAGTGAAACCCGGCCGGACGTCCGGCGTAGGTGACCGTGACACGCGCGTGGTTGAGCCATGACGTGGTTATCATCAGCCAACACGACGAGAGCGCAGCGGGGAACACGTTCACCGCGTGTGTCATCACATCCGCTGTAATTAAAACCATTGTTGCGGACGTCCGGGTCACGTGTCACGTGTCACGGTCACACCCCGCGCATCCAGTTTGACGGAAAAATTCCCAGAGTGCACGTCAGAGGACAGGTATCCGCCCAGGTGACCCCCCAGGCAATTTGTTCACACACCAACAAGGGGAACGGAAGTTAAATTACTGGTGATTTGCGTATCTTATTTAGCCTTAAGATCTTTAAAACATAGTTATTTGTCTCAATATTACATCAGGGTCAAAACATATGGCAGCCAAAAAAAGCAGTTATAAAGGCAATGATGGGTCAAACATAACAAATTAAAATGAAAAAACATCTAAAATCTCCTCAGAGGAAATTAAAACAACCACAAAAGGTCCATAGAGAAATATATCTCGTTTATTAATAGCCTCCTTCATCTTCAAAACTCATTGACAAAAATTATAAAACAGTATTTACACTTTTAAGTTACAGCGTCTTTTAAGTTACATCGGTTTAATTCCCGCCAAGAAATGTTCTATTCGCTCTGATCCCATATTAACTTAATGACCAATAATAGAGAAATATTACAGCGTTTGAGGTAAAAAGAAAAAGGGGCACATAAGAAAAACAATCAAAAAAGATTATGAACGATTTCAGCCATAAAAATTTACAAAACAAAAACATCGTTTGAAATGAAATTGTTTGTCTGTATGTATAAAAAATGATTCAGGAATAAACACAAAAAGAAAATCCAGTACAGGCATTGAAGCGAAGGCAACAACACGGTGAAATAAAAAAGCTGCGTCGCGTTAAGGAGTCAGCGGAGATGATGGCGATTATGAATCCGTGGTCAGAACTATTGCAAGAAAAGCTACTGCGGCGGAAACTTTGGCAAATTTCTGGCAATTTGCTTTTTGGAAAACACTTTCCATGCAAAAGTGCTTTTATTTTGAAATTGTAGAAGCGTCCAGGCTGTTTAAACTGCCTCTAAATGACCCCTCTGCGATTATAAGTGGAGTTCTATTTCTCAGAAGCGGCAGAGAAGAAATAATACAAATAAAACATACTGATTGAATTTAACATCAGTACCTTTCAAAATAAACCCCCATCTTTTTACCTATAGGATTTTCAAAAAAAAAGTTTTCTTTCAACAGTGTTTTTCAAAAGATTAAACATTTTGCTATTCTTGTCTAGTCCTCCTTTGTGTAACTCATTAACCTGAGAGGAAAAACCTGTTATCTGCCCAAAATTATGCAACGCTTCTCCCTTCACAGACATTTCATCACTTGTGTTGGAGAGTGATTATGTGATTTAATCTGGATGCCATATTAAAACAAATTTTCCTCCTTAAGGTCGGTGCTGGAGTCACAAATGAGTTTACAAGTCACAAAATCTGACTAAAGGTCATCAGCTGTGAAACCCAAACACTGAGCCATACTTGACTGGGAAGCTTTTAGTTTTAAAATGTTTTGTTTTTATTGTCATAAAACAACCGAAGCATCCCATTATTTGTCCACCTTATAATTCAAAGAATAGTTGTGGAACTAGTGGAGGGGCGTAACTATAATGAATAACCCAATCAGAAGTGCATAAAGAGCAACATTTACGTTCTTTTTCATACTTATATTTAGAGCCGATTTCGATCATTTGCCCTCTAAAGATAACTTTCCATGTCCTTGGCTCCGCCCACTGACCTTAAACTCAACCAATACAAATCACCATATTAACTGGCAAAAAATCGTCTCAATTAAAGATTTTTAGATAAACCCATGGCATATTGTTTAAAATATAAAACAGCTCAGACCCAGAGAACATCGAGTGACTCCTCAGATTATCACTGAAACATCGAGTCACTCCACAGATTATCACCCAAACATCGAGTCACTCTTGAGATTATCACTGAAACATCGAGTCACTCTTGAGATTATCACTGAAACATCGAGTCATTCTTCAGATTATCACCCAAACATCGAGTCATTCTTCAGATTATCACTGAAACATCGAGTCACTCTTCAGATTATCACCGAAACATCGAGCGACTTCAGATTATCACCGAAACATTGAACGACTCTTCAGATTATCACCGAAACATCGAGCGACCCTTCAGATTATCACCGAAACATCGAACGACTCTTCAGATTATCACCGAAACATCGAACGACTCTTCATATTATCACTGAAACATCGAGTCACTCCTTCAGATTATCACGAAACATCGAGCGACCCTTCAGATTATCACCCGCTGGTGTTTTTGGCAGAAAGGCGGCTCAGCACCAGAAATGAAGGCAGCTGTCAATCCGGTCTCCTCGAGCACCTCCTCCTGCCTTGAAGCACTATTCTATTGGATGTTTTTTAAAAGGGCTAAATTTAACATAAATGACGACCCAAAAAACAATCTCGTGACATTTAAGTATGAAACTGAAAAAGTCATGACAATTCATCGGAAAACTACAGCAGAATAATCCTTTTGTGATCATCTTTTTGTTTCAGATCCACGTTAAAAACGCGATTATAATTCCTCTTTTGAGTCTGAGAGGAGTCCTGTTTTGACGAAAACGGCGTGAGAACCACCAAAGGTGCTATTTCTGCTTTACTTGTTTGTTTGTTGGCGGAGGAGGAAGTTGGGGATTTGAAATCCGGTGATTGAGACTGTGATGCGTTTGTCTGTCAGCGTGAGTTGTTTCCCAGAATCCCTTTTGACAGCGTTTAGGAGATGAGAACTCCTCAGATTCCCCCGTATATACAAGTGGGGAAAAAGAAAAGCTGCAAAGCTGAGGGAGGAATAAACATTTCTGATTCCCGCAGTGGATTCTGGTACATGGAGACGTGGATCAAGCGGCAGAAATCTTATAATGACAATAATATAATAACAGGACTTCAAAGCAGTTTTTTCTCTTTGGATTTAAAAACAGAAATTCACCTTTTTATGCTGAATATCACAACAACAACAACAACAAACTGGTTCTGCTGGAGGACAAAAACATTTATGGAGATTTAAGAAACAATTTTTCATTCAACTTTAACACAGTAAAATGTAACTGGAGTGTGTACAGTTCTGTGGAAAAAAACAACCTTTGTTTACATAGAAAATACATGCTTGCTTCCCCGAAAGCTGACGCAACGCCGCTGATGGCGGCCGCTGTGTTTGGCGTTTAAAAATACAAAACAATAAAATGTTCAGATTGACCCTCAACCCCCAAAATCAGATTTGCAAAAAATAATAATAATTAAGAAAACTTAAACATAACCACTGAATGCAATGAACAATTTAATGTGGCAAAATAAAAATCACATCCCCCTCGTCGACAACAGTATATTTACACACACGCACATCGAACTCAATAAATAAAGTCTCAGATTTCTTATGTTCTAGTCAGAATGTGATCAAGTATCCCCCTTTTGGTTTCTGTTCCCACCAAGTCTGGTGATGGCAATTTTGGTCTCACACACACACACAAGCACACGCACAAACACACACGCGCGCCCTCGAAAAACACTCGCTGAACACCTGAAACGTCTTCAATCTTTGTAAAAAGGCAAAGGGATTCCCACGCGACCTTTCCATCAGATAAACTCAGACAACGCAGGTCCGTAGAGGGGGGGGGGTCTCTGTTTGAGAGCAACGTACCCGCCGCATTTAATTGTAATTACTCAATTAGACATTGATTTATTGATTGTTTGTCCTAATCGATACAAACCGGGCTGCTCGTCGCTGCTACATCTCTCTGAACAACTCTGGGCTGAAGGCTCCCAGCAAGATTGATACAGAAATACAAACAATGCCCCCCCCCCCCCAAAAAACAAAACAAAACAAAAACAACTGAAGGTCTTTTGTTGCCGTCGCAGAATCCACCAATAAATATCTCACTATAGATTTCTAAAGAACATATATTTGACACGCTGGTGTCGTCTTTGTCTCCTCGCCTGGCGGGGGCTTTTGGTTTACGCATGCAAGTACAAAGGGGGGGGTGGGGGGGCGGGGGAGAAGGGGGGATTGGAGGAGGGCGGAGTCTCCCTGAGTCTCTGATTGAGTAAACAGGAAGCAACACACACACGCAAGGATAGTTAAAAACACACACGCGCGGTGGGGACGGGGGGGAGGTTTGATAGTTCTTCACTTCTTGGTCCACACGAGCAGGTCCTTCAGATCAGTTAATGCGTTAAGGAGCGCGTGCAACCACACACACACACACACACACACACACACACACACACACACACACACACACACACACACACACACACACACACACACACACACACCTCTCTGCCGATGAACCACCGTGGACGAGTGTCTTTACAATGTTACCAGAACTCAATGTGTGCGTTTCACCCTTTGCATATTTACACAAAATGCACATGGCTTGTCTCTTTTTGTCTCATTCCTACAAACACACACACACACACACACACACACACACACACACACACACACACACACACACACAGACTCCACCCTTCCTCAGCATACATTCGAGCGCAGTAGTGCATGCGTGCAGATGGCGGGGTGCGGTGGTGGTGTAGTTGCTGGTGTAGACGGGGGGGGGGGCGGGTGGGGTCAGACGCTGTTGTCCAGCTGGCTGTGGTGGTTGGCTGCATTCGGCGAGTTCAGCTCGTTGAGGAGGAGGAGCGTCGTTTCGTCCGGCCCGTTCTCCGTCGGGGTGAAGTCGGCCCCCGGGTCCGCGAGGGTGGGGTCGGCGGTGGCGGGCGGAGGGGTTTGATCCAGGCACGGTGCGCTGTGGCCGCTCTCCGGGGACTGCGGCGTGCTGTCCAGACGGGACGCCACCAGGCCGTTCTGGTACTGTGACCGGGTGATCTGGAAGGAGGAGCACCGTTAGCGCCGTTAGCTGCCGGCTCAGCCGTCGCCATGGCGACATGTGTGCAGAGGCCAAAGAAATGCACCATTTTTTTTTTTTTTAGAGAGGAACAAAACTTACATATGACATTTAAAAAGACTTACATACCATAATAAATAACATGCTATACACACTGGCAGTGATTCCCACATGCAGCGTTTACATCCCTAACAAAGCACAGGCCGTTACCAGAGGAAAGCCAACAGGTAAGAGAACAATGTCGACCCCCTACCTTGACGTACTGCAGGTCGGTGAGGGCCCGCACGTAGAAGTCGGGCGTGTACTGCTGCGCCGGCACGCTGCAGTTGAGCTGGCTGTTGCTGCCGCTGACGGACAGCGAGTCCGTCCGGTCGGCGCCGCTCAGGGAGGCCGTGCGGTTCAACCCGCTGAGGTGGGACGGCGAGCGGAACTCTGCGCGCACAAGAGAAAGAGAAAAGGGGAAGTTATGGACGGCGCCGCTCGGGGCAGAAACATCCGAATACAGCAAGCAAATTTATTTTGGCGTTTAAAAAGAAGAAGAAAAAAAAAAGAAAAAGGCCATTCGGGAGTTAAAAGGCTTCTGTGACGCAGCTCCAGATAAGAGGACGGGGTGAAGGGGTGGAGGAGGATGGAGGGGGGGGGGGTGTAGCACAAATGACCAGTGAGTGACACCCCAGGTGGAATGAATGCACACGACAACGTCTGAAGAAACAGGTTCGTTCTGTGAGAGCAGCACGCCGCTTCTCTTCATGGAGAACAAGAGCCTCCAGCTCCAAACATCACGTCATGTGCTCGCGTCCATACAGAGTATTTCCATGCACCTCCGTGACCGTGAGGTCTGAACTCTTTATAACTATTACGATAACACTATTATGGTTTACAAAGATGATAAATTAACAATATAGTGAGTCATAACTCAGAAAAAACCCAAATGCAGAGATTTAACTTTCAATGATTTAAAATTACAGACTCTGCCAACTAATAAGCAACAATCCATACAAAATGACTTAAAATAAGGAATAAAAAGGATAAATACTTCACATCAGAAGTATTTAAGTGTTACTCAAAGTAATGCACTACTTAGCTGGTTATTTTCCACTTGGAAAATAACCAGCTAACAGCCACTCTGAAACCACGATGACGAACGCCGTGCCTCACCAAGCCGGCGTGTTTGTGCCATGCTGGTTTCACACGCATACCCACACACACACACACACACACACACACACACACACACGCGCGCGCGCTCCTCGCCGTGCGTCATTACCGGTGGCGGTGAGTCTTCCGGCGGAGGGCCTCAGTGAGTCATAGGACACGGTTTTACCTGGGCAGGTCAACGGGGGTCAACGGGGGTTTCTACGGGCCGAGCGTCTATTAGTGGAGTTAGATTTCACTGATGTTCGTTACGTGTCGGTCTCGGGATCACGGTCGGCAGCTTTACGTCTACAACTTCAGAAGCTTTTTGGACTTCTGTAAACCAAATTGTCCAGACTGCAACCGAGTATTTGCTCCGTCAGCCGGTGACGTCACTGCGGGATGCGACGGAGCCGAGTTGTAAGCGGGACTCGAGGTTTCTTTACTTCCCTTTTTCTGTAACAAACATCAGCCCTTCGTTCTAATAGCTTCTGTGTCAAAGCTGGTAGAAAAGAGGCCGACCGGATCCCCACGACGTCAGTGAAGCTTTTAAGAGTTAGTGCTTTTAGAATGAATCAGAGTGGACCAAATCCCAAACAGCCGTCCTACATTTGGGCGGTGGGACGGCGGTTGGAACCGGTGCTTATTTGTTGTGCTCTAGAAGATCTATTTTGGCAATTAGTGTCATTAAAGTCTACCAGTGGGTTCATTCTACACCGGGACGGACCGGACTACGATGACCCCAGCAGCTCGTTCTTTGTGAACAGTGCTGATGATCCAAAAGCAAATCTGGAAGCTGCCGCTTCAAAGACGTCGTCGGGAGACGCTCGGGTTCCTTCTGGGTGTCTCGTGAAGTCCTATTTGTCTCCATTCGTTCCCAGAGGGGACATGCTGCTGGATAAGCTCTTTGATCGACTTGAACGTCGACGTAAAGTTTGTGACGTGTGATAATTAATCAAATTTTAAAAAGCGAATGCAGGCCGGGAGGTGAAAGGGCATCAGAGTGATCAACGTTTTAACCACCACGAAAAGACAAAGGTCCTCGCAGCAGCTTTAATATAAAGCTTTTAACATTTTTAAATGTTGCAATCTTATTTATTAGATATTAAGTCAGCAGCTAATGAATATTTTCCTGACAGTTAATCCGCCATTTTTTTTGATCAATAGATCCATAAACGGTCCCGAAACGAAGAGAACTGCAGCTCAGAGACGGTTTAAGCATTTCTGTGAAATCAGAGCAACTTGAAAAATAAACCACAGCACACATTTCGTGCAGAATACTGTGGTAACTCTACTTCCTGCTCGTTGCAGACAAAGGAAATGAAAAACACCGAGAATAAATTAACCCGCCGTCTCCTCACAAAATGAATGCAAATAAAACTAAAAATAGGTTGTCTGTGTTGAACAAAGAGCTCATCCCCCCAAAAAGCAGCCGTTGTCTTGGAAACCCTTTGGCGCCTGTAAAGGGTAAAAGAACAGCGACACCACAGAGGGACGAGCGACCTTCGAACCCGCTGCACCTTCAGGACAATCGTGATGTCACAGCAGGTGTTTTCATGACCTCCGCCCTCTGTGATCACGCCTTTATTTACCTTTCACCAAAGCCACGCCCCCTAAATCAAGAGCTGGATTCTAGCAACCCCCCGTCCCCTCCGTCCCCCCCTGTCAGTCCCTGTCCGTCCCTGTCCGTCCATGGTGCTAAAAAAGACCCAGACATGCCGGCGTTTACCTGGCAACCGAGAAAACAGAGGAAACCTCTTAAAGGGGAGGTGACGAGGACGAGGAGCAGCCACTGAGGGGAGAGAAGGAGGGAGGCAGCAGGTGTTCCAGAGGGAGGGGGAGAGTGAGACAGAGGGACAGATCACAGCTTCACGTGCATAAAAAAACTAAAACAAAGACCAAAGATTACAGCGGATGAGCGGAGGGTTCGATCGATCAGACGTTTGATGAGAAGGTGAAATGAGGCTGGTGGAGGAAGGAAGGAAGGAAGGAAAGAAAAATAATTATAAAATGCCCCTTCACAAATCTGAAGAACCTGAGAGAGCGAGAGAGAGAGTCGAGATGAAAACGAGAATAGCAATGAAAAAAGAACAACAACAGTTGTGTCTTTCGTGTCAAACTGTCGCACAGTTGAACAGTTATAAAAACATGACGCGCAACGACGATCACACGGGAAGAAGCCCAGTGTGAAGGAAGCAGGATTTAAAATCGGTACATATGAAGACATCCGCCGGGGGGTTTGGTGATTCGGTGACAGCTTCTGGTACCTGAAAAGTTCACGAGATGGAAAAATGAACTGCAGAAGTACAAAGAGAAGCAGACAGGGGTCTGAAGTCCGTGTGGACAGAGGGATGGAAATAGGAGAGACTTTTCGCATTGTAGACCAAATGAATGCTGACAGAATCAGGAACCTGGAGCCAAACGTTCTTCCCTTCCTAAATAACACCAGAAAAGATCTGGTTTTCAATGTCAGACCGAGAATTTCTAGGTGACCTTCAACACAGCTTACGTTTTTAAAAAGTCATAAAATGCTATAATGTGTAAGGAGCAGGAAGCACTTGATGACGCAGGAATAAATGATGCAATCCGTTGTGGTTTCGGCTGAAATAACAGGATATATCATGGTTAACATTTAGGGAAGCACAGGCTGTTCTAATATTAAACTACACCACTAGGTGGCAGCAGAGGTCCTTTAATCCGAGACATTACACAGAAAATACTAATTAACCTTTGAAGATTATTAGTGCAAACGTACAGAGGAGGAGAGGAGAAATGAGGAGGGAGGAGAGGAGAAATGAGGAGGGAGGAGAGGAGGGTTTAGGGCTCACCCAGGGTGGGAACGCTGATCGCCATGACGCCGTAGAAGGAGAACGGTCCGGTCTCAAACTTCATGTTCTCGTTGCCGGCCTCCACCTCCACCCGCCCCTGATGGAGCGCAGACACAAACATTGTCAGTGACAGCGTGAATTCCTTCCCGGGAGGCATCTTCTCACGTCTCACAATAGAGAAAGTGAAGCAGCTTTTTGTTGTCTTCGTCATGATGCCTTTGACAGACGGAGGAACAGAGCATTTATTTGACATTTAACAGTTAAAACCTGTTGCTCATAACCTTCCCTTCACCTTTGGACTCTAATCATCACATCAATCCCAATAATAGAGCTGTAAAGATCCTTGTTCTGTCAAATATTTAATCGGTATGAATAAAACTAGACAGTGTGAGCCTGGTCGTCCCTAGAGGGCGCTACAGCCCCAGACACAATATATCACAGATACAGTAGAAACACCCTGGAACTGTTGACTTTGTCCTCCGTGAGACACCTGACACGAGTCGGGAGGCGAGACATTCAACGCAAAAAAGGCGCGACCTCGGCGGGATGACTTAATGCAGGCGAGGAGCGAGGGAGTGTGTGGGGGGGGGGGCGCGGGGGGGCTTCTCAAAGAGAGAAGCGGGTTGGTCCGGTGAGCCGGCCTCCATCGGCCGGCTGGAATGTGTGAACTGCAGCAACAACACAGCAGTTAATCCACGCGTCCCTCCTTCCCTCCATCACTCCATCCTCTACCCCACCCCACCCCCCCCCCCCCCCCAAAGAGGGCGGGCTCACGGCAGCGGAAAGGTGGGGGGAAAACACCCCCGTGTCCCATGGGGGACGGCGAATCCAGGAGGAGACCCTTTTAGAACTTTTGGTGGGCAGCGTAGCTGGGTTTTAAATCAAGGGTTTATGGGTGTCAAGTGTCTCACTTTTGTGAGGGTCAAACTGCAGCCCCCCACTTGAAAGGGCAGCTTGCTAAGAAGTGTAGAGTGGATTCCACTCAATGACCAAGATTCGGACTTCTTTGCTTTCTTGCTTTTTATTTTCAAGATTGTCCAGGTCAAACCAGGTGAAAAACCTTGAAATACAAACATGAATATAAGGTCAAAGAAATATAACCCAAGAAACCATAATCAATTCACATACCCAACATCACATACTTAATTTATAATCTACTGGAAATTAACCCCAAAATAAGTAGAAAGACAACCCAAATTTAAAGTATCCCAATACTAAATTAAATACATTTTTAAAACACTATTTAATGATGATTTTAACCTTTAAACTTCACCAGATTTTAACTCCGCTGAATACACACAAATCAAGTTTTATCCAATTACTTTTAGCTTAAATACTTTTTAAAACACATTAAATATATGGACATTTGATTTTGCATTTCATGCCATAAGTAGTCAGCCACTCAAAAGCTCACCGGCTCCTTCTTCAGCCTTTGCAAGCTTTATTCCTGCAGTCTCCTCTTCCCAAGCTCTTCAATCTCGCTTTCTCACACTGCTCGCTCTTCACTGTCCTGTGAGTGAGTGACTCCAACCCCCCCTGATCGCCAGATCCTCTCCACCTGGTGCATTAAAATCTCCGCCTCCAGCCTGAGAGACTCACCTAAACCTACCTCCCAGCCAGAGAGGGGCTCGGTCTGAAACTCAACTCAACACCTCCCACTCGATCTTCCCACGAGAACCGCTGGAAAGATCGCACAGTGACCTTGGGGTCAGAGATCCCCTTTTTGGCCTCCTGCCTGCTCCTCCACTGGCAGCAGAACCACCAATCGTCGAACGTCCCGATGAAGAATTGTGGACTGAACGTCCCTCCAGATGCTGGAGGCAAGATGCCTGGATGCTGATGTTGCAGGTCTCACCTGAGGGATACAGGAGCTTGTCACAACTCTGACTTTCACATCCCGTACTATGCCTCTGGAGTCTGGGTTGACACTTATAACCCTCCCAAGCTTAAAGTTACCCCTCAATGCATTTTGGTCGCACAGCCAAACAATATCTCCGTCTGCAACATTCCTCTGTGTAGTGTGCCATTTACTCCTCACGAAGAGATTAGGGCCGGCAAGTTGGCTCCAGGACCTCCAGAATTTGTTGACCTGGTGCTGCATTTCCTGAAGCCTCTTATAGGGGTAGCTCGTAAACACAAATGTTTTCCAGTCACCACTCGATGATGCCCGCCCCAACAGGAGTGCATTGGGTGTGATGTACTGCACGGTGTCTTCACAGCTCTGCACCCTGGCATCAATGGGGCGCTCATTCGACAGATTAGCAGCGAGCTGAAGTGTCGTCTGAAGTTCGCTGTAACTGAGCTCTGATTCTCTCCCCAGACTCTGGAACGCCTTCTTCACAATTCGAACAGCTGCTTCAGCAGAGCCATTTCGATGAGGTGAATCAGCCGGCTGGATTTCCCAATGCCAGCTGGTTCCATTTTGAGCTGAAGTTTCCTCCACAGCAGGCCTATCCAAACCATCCAGAAACTGATACAACTCCTCCAGAACAGGTTTGGCACCAACAAAATTGGTCCCTGGGTCGGACCAAATCTTCTTAGGATGTCCTCGAATTGCTGTGAACCTCTGATAAGCCATCAGAAAGCTTTCAGTCGACATGGTGTTGGCCAGCTCTGTGTGGATTGCTCTACTGGCCATACAGCAGAATACGACGCCCCAAACCTTCATCCGGACTCTCTTCTTCACATCATCCTTGACCAGATACGGTCCAAACAGGTCAACTGCCGTGAATTCAAATGGAGCCGCTGGCCTGGTTCTCTCTTGAGGCAGATCACCCATCACTTGGCGACATCTTCTAGCTCTGGCTTTCTTGCAAATCACACAGTTTTCAATGATTTTTTGAGCAATTCTCCGTCCCTTGATGACCCATGCTCTCTTTCTCACTTTCAGTAGAGTAGCAGCTGTTCCCTCGTGACCCCTGCTGTGAGCTTCACGAACCAACAATGTTGAAACCCAGGCACTGTAAGGTAAGAGGGGAACACTAACTCGGTCTTCATTAAAAGCCTGGGACCCTCCCACCACAAACTAGTAGCCCCGTTCCTTCTTCTTTGAAGACTACCAACCGGTCCGTTGTGGTTGTTGGAAAGGTCACGCCCTCTTGTGCAGCAAGAAAAAGGTCTCTTAAGGCGTCTTGGCGCTCTGTTGCAGTGATGACCCCGGCTGATGAAACTGCCTCCCACTTTGGAGTCCCCAAGATCCTGCTTTGAGCTGCAAAGCACTTAGCTGCTCTCCAGACCTGGGCAACCGCTTTAACCAGGTGAGTCAGGTTTCGGACAGCAGCACCAGCAGGTGGTCTCCGACACTCCAGGTCTGGTGGCCCTTTCTTCACCTGAGCTCTTGCGAGTACGGCAGTAAATGTTTTCTTTTGCATCTTTCCAACACTCTCTCTGGCAGTTGCGGATACGTCCTTTGCAGACTTAATTGGCCACTCATTTGCTGGTAAACTCAGGAACTCTGGTCCTTGCTGCCATGGTGAACCTTCATCCAAATCTTTTGTACCAGCCCCACGAGTAATAATATCAGCAATGTTGAGCGTTCCAGGGATCCACCACCAATCCTGACGTTGCGTGCTGCCTTGGATTTCTCCAATCCTGTTGGCAAAGAAAGTCTGAAAGCCATAGCTCTCACGTTGAATTGCACCAAGGACTGTTTGACTGTCAACAAAGTGGTACCACTGCTTGACTTGAATCCGGCCATGTTGCTCAAAGTACTTTTTTAACCGGGCGGCGAATACTGCTCCACAAAGCTCTGACTTGACTGCTTCCCCCTTGTGGTCCAAAGGGGTCAACTTAGCTTTAGACTCCACCAGCCTCACCGTGGACCCTTGGTTACAGGCCCACCGTAGGTACAGGACGGCACCATACGCATGCTCGCTGCCATCAGAGAAGGTGATTGCATCAGGTTCAGCCGGTGCACCTGCTGGCGTAAGGGCTCTATGAAACTTGACCTTACTCAGCTTGGCGTATTCTTCGAAAAGGCTGATGGCATCTTCTCTGAGCTTTTCTGATAGCGCAAGATCCCAAGTGTCTTTGCTGGTGCTACATTTGGGTTTGGCCTCTTGAAATGCTCTCCGAACCAAAATGGCCCCTTTCTGTTTCACAGGCGTTGTTAGGCCAATCGGGTCATATAGTCCAGAAACTTGGCTGAGTAACTCTCGTCGTGTCAATGGGTCTGGCGTCTGAGCTCTCACCTGCTTCAGTCGAAGGTCTTGGCAAAGTCTCATTTTCCTCTTCCTTCTTGAAAAGTTTATCCCAACCATTACATGAAGCTTGTCATCTTCCAGGGTGTAGCCAAGGCCAAGGGCTTTGTTGTCCTCCTCTTTGAGCTGATTCGGCAGAATTACAGTCCTTGGAGTAACCGCCTGGTCGTTTCCAGACGACTCCCTCCTACTTTGGCCAGTGAAGACCCATGGCTTCAACTCGAACCCTCCTGCTTTGAGGATCTGCTCCACATTTCCCGTGATGACTTTAAGTTGGTCCAAGTTATCATGAGAGGTCAAGAGGTCATCGACATAGCTGTCTTCCTGCAGCACTCGACGCTCTTCCTCAAGATGGCTGAACTGAGGGAGGTTAGCAGTCTCTCTCATGGCGAGTTGAGCGATGCAGCCTGCTGGCTTGTCTCCAATGTTAACTCTCGTTACTGCATATTCAGCCAGCTCTTCTTCCTCAGAGTCACGCCACAGGAACCTATGCAAATGCACCTCTTGATCTTCCAGCCACACTGAATTGTACATTTTCTTTACATCTCCTAAAGCAGGAAACCCTCCCCTCCGGAATTTAAGAAGCACAGCACGGATTGAGTTAAGGACGTCTGGGCCTTTCAGCAGGAGATCATTGAGGCTCACCCCTCTGCACTTTTGACTGCTGTTCCAGACCAGTCTTACCGGAGTTGTGACAGAGTGTGGGTTGGGTGCGATGAGGTGGCTAATGTACCATACTGGGCCAGTCCATTCACGAAGTACATCTTTGGTCAACTTCATTTCAGCCCTGCGCTCGACCATCTCGTGCACTTGAGCGGCATAGGCGGCCTTCCATTCTGGCTCCCTGGCCAGTTGCCTCTCGGTCCTCAAGAATGTGGCCTCGACTGCGCTCCTGTTGCTTGGTAATGTGGCTGGATCTTCCACCCAGGGGTACTTGGTGTGCCAGTGAGGCCTCTCACTGTGGTCATCAGCTGCTACATATGTGAGCCCGCTCTTTACCACCTCCAGCTCCCTTTCTTCAGCGAGGGTCATTTCTTTGCCGCCTGGCTGACAGTTTCCGCAACGACAGCCCCCACATCTCGGAACACAACCAGCACCAATGCTTTCCCATTTCCACCAGTCGATGAAACTGGATGTAGTAGCAGCACAGCTGGATATCTGAGGTTGGGCGGAAGTTGGGGCTCGCTGGCTTTGAGGAGGATGAACGGGGACTGCGCAGGTGTGTTCTTCATACTTTGCAGCAGCAGTTCTCATAGACCTGGCAAAGTGTGTCCTCGACGTATGGGCTGATACAGTGACCTCCTCAAACAGCTCAGGATGGGTGCCAGCAACTGTCTTCCCCATTGGTCCATCCCACAGTACGAGGTCCCCCACCGTTCGAATTTTCTGTGGAGCCAGTTGACCCTCCTTGTGACTTACAAGGAGCTGGATCTCTTTTGGCCTTGTCAGGTCGCTGAGCGGGACATCTGGGAAGAACTGTTGCAGTTTTCTGGCTGACACATGTCTGTGGATATCTGCAATGCGGTCTAAGCCGTAGCAAACCAGCTGGTGGGACTTGAGAGCGCCTCTTGAGGTGCCAACCCGGATTTTCAGGAGATACCGCTTTGTTTTAACAAAGACTTTCATGCCTCCCACCCCATGAACCACAAGTGTGATATCTTCACTTCTGAGATTGAGCCGACCTGCTGCCTCATGGGTGATATAATTGGTGTCAGAAGCTAGGTCGATCAGGGTCCCAATTCTCTGTCCAGCATTGGCTGTCACCTCCAAAAGCATCATGATGACGGGCCACTCCGCTAGGCCGCCCTCTGCCAGAAGACTTGAGTGACTCTTTGCGACGTGGGAGGTGCTTGTTGCTGTATTGCAGAATGCGTCCCGGCACTGTTGGGCCAATTCAGGGGAGAGCTTCCTGAATAATTCCTCCTGGGCTTCGGTGTAATCCCTCTTGTTGCCACCTCCCACTGCGCTGCTTTTGCTCCTCCTCTGGGCTGCGCTGCCCCTGGATGCTTCGGCATTGCGACACAGATAGTAGTGGTGGTCTCTCCCGTCCTCGCACTCAGGGTTTCTGCACAGAAATAAGGTTTTGCAGAGATTATCATCATCATGGACCTCCAGACATTTCCAGCAGGCTCCCAGTTTTCGCACTGCGTCCTTCTTCTCTGTGAGCTTGAGCACACGGAACTTTTTGCAGAAGTACAGCTTCTTCTTATGCTTAATGTCCCCACAGACGATACATCCTGAGAGATGGCTACCTGACTGGTTTGCAGCCCTGGTTCTGGCTTGCCTTTGCTCAGGTCGGATTTCTTTCCTTGGCAGCTCTTCGTCCCTCAATTGGTCCAGCTGTTCATAGATGTTCTCTTGACTCTTGAGGAAGGTCAGAAGACTGTCAAAGCGTTTCTCTGGAGGAGCACTGCTCCTTTCAGCTGCATAGAGAAGCCACTCTTTCTTCAGTACATCAGGAAGCTTGCTTTCGATTGCCTTTGTCACTAGAGGATTCTTTAAAGCACCGGTGTCACCAAGGTCACTCAGGTCTTGAAGGGCTTTTTCAACAGCTTGGATGAGCTCAACAATTTTCTTGGGCTGGTGACTTTTGACAGCTGGAAGTCTCTGGAGCTCCTCAACTATTTCGATGGCAATCGCCGTTTGGTTTCCAAACCGGTTCTCCAGGACCCGAAGAATGTCATCTGCTGTGTTATAGGACATCAATCGAAGATCTCTCATTATCTTGTCATCCAAACTGTCAAGAAGCTGGAACTTTTTTACTTCTTTTGACCCAGTAGGTTCTCCTTGCCTCTGAAGGGCCTCCCAGTCTCCTCTCCAGCGATGATAGTCTCGCCTGATGCCAGTGAACTTGGGGAGGGAGGTTGGCTTCAGTCTGATGGCTGATATTGATGTCGGGTAGCTGATAGAAGCTGCACTCACAACTCTTTCGGCGTCTTCTTTAGCTTTTGCTTCAATGACCTCTGCCTTTTTGGACATTAACTTGGGAACGATCTGCTCGAGCTCTCGTACACGCACCTGGAAGTCTTTCTGCTCGGCAGGAGGGGCCCAACCCTTCCACTGTGTGTACAGCTCCTTCGCCCTCTTAACCAGTCCTTCCATGTAGTCGAACATGAAGTCAAAGGCCTCTTTATTTCCACCAGGTTCAAAGGAAATCACACTCTTTACTTTCTCCTCTGCAGCCTGTAGCGCCATCATCAGTTCCTCCTCCCCGAAATTAGCCCAGAGTGTCTTTCGAATGAGGTCCTTCAGCTCTTCCAATTTCATCTCACACTCGCTTGCAGTTTTCCCAATATCGGCCTTTTGCTGCTTGCTCAACCCGGGAACTTCATCAGGATCTGCGTCCAGCTCCACTTCTGCAAGGTACTGGGCCTCCACATCGTCATTTGCTTCCATGACTTTGTTGGCCTCAGTTATGAGCCTTTTGAAATGGTCTCTGAGCTCCTCTTCAGCCATTATGGCGTGCATCCGGACAATGTTGTTGGACAGCCGGGAGAATTGTCGCTTTGCAGACGTCCTACTAGCTTTAAGCTGCTCCAGTGACTTTGAGTCAGCCATCTTCCTTTTCACCAGGATTCGGTGTGGGTGGGGTGATCTTCAGTGTTACTAGGCCTCTGGACTTCCAGGCCAAAACAAGTGCCGGAGGACGTTTTCAGTATAGCCATTAAAAAATAAATAATAATATTTGTAATTTTATAAAGTTTTTTTTTTTTTTTCATTGATCACATGATGTCTAAATTTAAAAGAGCTTTCCAGAAAAGTCCACACAAACAGGTCGACCTCGTGGATTGAGCGTGATATTTCGCTCTGCTTGTCCTCCGTATACGGACAGATCGCGCTTGTATGGATAGATCGAGGTAACGAGGAAGGAAACCGCTTGGTTTGTCCGCTCCGGGCTCCTGTAGAAACATGGCCGACCAACATGCCGGACCGCGTGAAGAGGACTTGATCTGTAGATATGAAGGGATGATTCTATTCTTAGCATCAGGTGATGAACCACCGAGGACATAACGTGGTTTCCTGTACAGCGGATTCCCTGTAAAACGGCGCGCCGGCCCTTTAAGGGCCAGTGCGACATGTGCTGGAGGCTTTGGGTGTTTTGGAGCTTGGTGTGCGAGCGTGTGCGCGTTGCATTCGCTACATGTGACAGACACGTCACATCTACGTCCCGAGACGTCTCATTTTGTGTCTTTATTTTTAACTTTTCCAAGTTCATCCAGTCACTGAATCCACACCTGTTCAGTGGAGCCGCGGGCCGCTGAGCGACCAGGGGGGGGGGGGGTCACGTGCCTTGCTCAAGGACGCCCTGCCGCCGAAAGAGGAGAAGGCGCTCGCCAAGGTTCGACTAATGAAACATTATTTAGGTTTAATCCCGCCGGTACGAGAGCGTTGGCCCGGGGTCAACACGTGCATTCCACTCACACACTAACGAGTCCTGGTGTCACGGGGGGGGGGGAAGAAGAGGAGGCGCAGAACCCGTTTCGCTGGACCAACTGACACAACAGCCTTTTCGCACTGGGGACGATGAACCGCACCAACAAAAAGGGCCACTGAATGACAGCGAGTCGAACCCGCGTCTTTTATCGACCTCTAGGAGGTGTTGATGCATGTTGATGACATGGTACAGTAGAGCCTCCTCCTGGAATGAGGAGAAGCCGCAGCCCCCCGACGGGTCCTGAAAGTCGGCTGCACGCGGTGAAGTGGGCGGGGCTTAGCGGCGATGTCATTACCTTGACGTTAACGTTCTTTTTTCCCGCCTGAAACCTCGCTGACTCGCCATCACAACGTCAACAAATGAATTTGTTACTTCAAATCAAAAGAAACGTTGTTCTAAATTCTAGTAAAGGAAAAAAAAAAATACAGCTGACCCGGAGGCGAGCAGCTACACCAAAGAATCTGAAAAGGTAAAAATAAAAAAAATAAAAAAGTGGAGTAGAGACTGAAGGCTGGCGCACGTTTCTGCGTCTGCGTCTTCACGCGCCGTCGTGTCGACGCACTCGTTTCAATTGATGGTTGTAAAAGTCTTGCGTGCGTTGCAGAGCGATTCACCTCCAGAACAACAGGCGGAGTGACGCGTTTCTGTCGAAGACGACCGAGAGCGTCACGTCTTTGCTGGAGGCTTGCGTCGCTTTTGACGCTAGTCTAGACAAATGAGGTGTGAAAAGGTCGCAAGGGGCTCTTGCGTCTCCCTGAAAACGCAGAAGCATAAACTAGGCTTTATGATGATGATGATGATGATGTGATAAACCTCGGAATTGGAGTAGCGGCACATCTGCCGCTCACAGTAAACAGCTCAAAGTTCAAGTGCACCGGGACATTCTGCTTGTGCTTTTTTTTTTTCCTTTTTTAAAAACACATCCATGTGGTTCTCTGCCAAAGTTCACGTTGCGTTACGACTTTTAAGACAGCGTGGGACAGCGTGGGACAGCGCAGGACAACGTGGGACAGCGGTGCGGGTGAGGCCGGATGGGAAAATTCAATTCGATAACAAACGCGGTCTTATTCTTGGGATTAAAAGAGCTAACCTGTTAGCCGCATTACCCAAAGCACTTCCTCTCAAAGAGCTGCTGACTTTTGGTGATCGCTCTCGTATTCCATTTCAACCTAGAAATTCTTCACAATAAAAGTCCGGTAAATTTGAATGCTTTGTTTTCAGTATTAGCAGACTTGTTCTAAGGAAGAACGCAGCTCTGCAAAACTCAATTCACATTTGATTCCCTGGAACTTCCTCACTGTTGTGTTATTTAAAAGCTTTTTTATTAGGCTCCAGGTCGTCATCGTTTATCCTACGTGTTGTGTTTCCCGCACACTGCTGTCACTATTTAATAGCTTTATTTCCTGTAAATGATATTTTTAAAGATCCAATCAGGGGAAATAAAATATTCAAAGATGACTAACTATGAGTGCGTACATATGACAGCACGGATGTCTTTACATACAATTTGTACCAAGCTTTTTAAATAAACGCCAGGGCGTCCAGGGTGACGTCTTTTGAAAGAAAAAAAAAATCATATTAAAAGGACCAGACGTTACAGACAGAAAGTCTGAGAGGATTCAGTGCAAACATTGGCGTGTTAAAACAGAACGAAGGCACCGAGGATCCGAACGAGGCCTGGAAAATACACACTGCCCGTTGTGCGTCTGTGTGTACGCGTGTGTTTAGTGGTCGGTGACCAAGTGTTTGTTACAAAATAAACCGCTGACTTGGTTTGTGGTGAACTGAACAATTTCTGAAAAAGTCACAGCGTCATGTATGCTGAGTGACACACACACACACACACACACACACACACACACACACACACACACACACACACACACACACACACACACACACACACACGTCCTACTCTCAAATGGACTGAATAGACTATGAGGAACATTTACCTGGTTAAGAAACCGTCTTTAGTACTGATGCCTCTTTATGACCTTCATAAAGTAATCAGAGCAAAGAACCGGTTCAAACACAAACACACACGGACACACACACGGACACACACACACACACGGACACACACAGACCGCCGGGTAGACGGACTCTGTCCTGTGAGAGAAACAGAGCATCTTTATAGACGCATGAATCCCACTGGTTTATAAACAAACTGCTGACAGGAAAGATTACTACCAGAAACACACACACACACACACACACACACACACGCGCACACACACACACACTATAAAAGGAGCGGAACTATGACATTGAATCATCTCTATCCGAGGTTTTTAGTTCTCATGAGCCCACCGGGCATCAGACATACGTAACACAAACAACGCACACTGTACACGTGAATGTACACACTGCGCACACGTATCGCGTTGTTTACACGACAAATACGAGCCGCCAGTCGTCTACACCGTCCACAGCTCGAGCTCTCACAGGAAATAGCAATAATTGAACGGGGAAGTCTGCCGCCAATCTGTAATCACCGGAATAAAATATTCATTTTTATCTGGAATCTGATGGAAATATTCTATCTTTTCTAAGTGCCCATCGGTGCGGAAATCAGGGCCGGGCTTCTTGAAAGTGGAACGCACCTGAACGCACCTGAACGCACCTGGATCTTGTGTCATTAAACTGTTGTTTAGGAGCTCAAGCTTCACCTCGTTTCACCTGCAGCAGGAACTAAAACGTGAGCAGAGACGAGGTCAAAGGCCTCTTTCTGCTCCCTCCAAACACGACTAAAACCCACAGGGTTTTCTGCCGAGTCGCAGCGACCCGTTCTTCCACCTGGGGGGTCCTCAGACCTGCATCTCACACCCAACCAGCCCGCGGATTACTGGACCCGGCTAATGACTGTTTTTGGGGACGTGGCTACGCGTGGGAACCGGATGCATCGCCAAGGAGAAAGATGGGGGGCGGAGAGGCGCCGTTTTCCCACCTGGGTGGGAAGGAGGGGGAGGGGGGGGGGGGGCGCAGGACTCATCAGGCAAAGTGTTTTGTCTGTTTTGTCTATTGGACGGAATAATACAAGTCATCCGTGATTCAATTTGGGACGTCACTTGGTTTTCTTGCTTTGCTCTTGCTGACTGGCGGGAGGCCCAGTGGCAGAAAACACGCTTTCCTGTCTATGCGTCTCTGGAATGCGAAGCACTCACTTATTTACAATCCCTTGTAAATATTTAAGAGGAGTGATGTGAACATAACGTTAATATTTGGTGAGCCGGTTATTGTGCCGGAGTGTGTGAACAAGATTATAATGACGTTTAGTCCAAAAGTCCGTCTTTCAGCTCCTTCAAGGGCAATTCTTTTGAACGCTTAAACACACACACACACACACACGTAATCTTTTTACTGCCATTTACTCAAATATCAAGTTAAAACGCCTTCGCTTCCCAAACACTATGTCCTCAAAGCGATTAGTAACCAGCAGGTTACCGAGGCCAGGGTTGACCTTTGAACCTCCAACAGGAGGTACCAGCGACCTCCGTTTGACGCGACGAAAGATGCAAAGCAATGACTCCCGGTGGCGGGCGCCTACCTGCAGGATGAGGACGAAGTAGTCCACGGGCTTCCCCCGCTGGTACACGTAGTGATGCGCCGACAGCTTGTCGGCGGCGCAGAACTTGATCTCCTGGATCACGTCGGGGTGGCGAAGGATTCGCAGCAGCACCTTGTCCGACACCTGAGACGGGCTGAACAAGCTCACCTCTGCCGGGAGGAGGGGGGAGGAGGGGGGAGGAGGAGAAGTGGGGGGGGACATTGAGGATGTTGGTCTTTTAAGAGACATTCATTCGTTATAATGCATGAACTGTAAATAACAGAAACAGTGAAATATTTCCCCGGCTTGTTTGAGGCGAGAAGTCTTGGTAAGCGTCTGTAGTGCATCGTAGTCATAATGGCTCATAAAAGGTCGGGACAATAATTGTTACACATTAAAACTTGTAACGATTGGCGGTCTGATCGACCGGTCCCTGTTGAAAGCAACGACGGTTGAAATGTGTTTGGTTTTTCACGCGTTTCTCAACCGTTGCAGCGCTGCGGCAATCAGAGCTCAGCGTTAAGTGCGTGGGACCCCACCCAGGCCCAGAACAAAGCAGCGGCCCACCCCGCCAACAAAGGGCCTCTGCGGCGCGCGGCGAGAGGCGACCAATGTTGGAATTCGTCATCTAAAAAAAGTTCTCCTGGACGGCAATAAAAACATAAATAAACAGGACGGTGAGCAGCTGAGATTCAATGTTTCACAGCCCATTAATCCGATATGTTCCTGGTTTGTCAATTGTTGTTCGCTCCTGCTGGTTGGCTGATGGCTCCATAACTAAAAGTCATCGTCTCACTTCAATAACAACACAGACCTCGTTGTCTTCATACGGGCAAAGCACATGTTTGTTTGTTTTTTACTTATGTAATGAAGCATTAGATTAGAATCCCACCAGGAATTTCTCTGGCATGAATGTAAAGAAACCGTATTAGGAGGCTGTTATATACAAATATCTGGAGTGTCTATTTATTTATTTATCTAATGTAAGCGCTAAGAAGCAGTAATGTGAGAAGGAAAGAGGAGAACAGCAACTCCCTCAGCCCACAAAAGGAAAACAATCCCATTCCTGCGTGATGAGTCAGGAAAGAAAAATGAATCCATCCTGAGAAGAAAAACGGAGCGTCAGACTCTGACGTGACGCCATTGGACGCTTCATTTAAACGCTGTCATCTGGAGACACGTGGTCTTTACTGGGCAGAGGGATGAAAAGCTGTAACGTGAAAACCACTGGACGCTGGCAGGTGGACTAAAAAGTGTGTGTGTGTGTGTGTGTGTGTGTGTGTCCCTCACCTGTAGCCAGGAAGCGATGGGCGGCCAGCAGCAGCTGAGGAGAGATCTTCACTTTTGATTCGCTCTCGCTCTGCTTGAAGGCGGAGAAGTCTCTCTTATTTTTATTGGGCGCCACCTTTTTCCTGTTGCGGTTATCGGCTGAGAAGTGACACACACACACAAAAAGAATAAGTCATTTATCAGAAGAAAAGCAAAAGGTTCACTCAGTCAACATTGCACAACCCTTGGAGAGCACTGTGAAAAGATCTTTTTACGTGGAATAAATGAATATTTAGTCCAGTTTCCCTGCTGTGGTTCAGTAGTGATCGAGGTTAACTAGTATCAGACCGTATTCTCCCCCAGCATTGCAACACGATGTGAACATCCTCACTTCCTTCTTCGAAAATGATAAAAGCTGAGACCGAAGCGACTCACTGTAGAGGTCCGACTCGTCCAGGATCTCAGACTTGATGATCTCCTCGATGACGTCCTCCAGGGTGACCAAGCCCAGCACCTCGTAGAAGGGATCTCCCTCCCCCTCGTTGTTCACCTTCTGGACGATGGCCAGGTGGGATTTTCCTAAAGCGGGACAGAGAGGCATCACTGGTGTGCGGCGTGTATATCTGCATACGCACACACAAGCGACGGATGAATGAACAGAAAGAAGACGGAGGAGAAGCGGATGAAATGAGATCGTTTTCTGTTGAATTAACTGTGCTTGTAGTTTTATTTGGGTTCTTCTGGGGTCCAGTTCATCCTGCACAAAACTGACCAGGGGGGCCTCGACAACGAGGGACCGGCCGCATTGCCGGGGGCAACCATTTTGTGAGAAAGGGCAAAAAAAACACACGCAAAAACAAACAAAAGGGGAGAACGAGCAAAACGAGACGCCGGTGACTCGCTGGATTCATTTGGAGTCGATCTGTGAAGAACTGAATCAATTAGGAACAAAGTTCTGCGAAGGTCAAACGAAGCACAAACTACAACGAATTCGGCTTGGTTGCTGTAATAAATAATGTTTCATTTCATGTCAGTTATATTATTAGGATGACTCAAAAGAAGGGAAGTCAAATGGTTTCAGTTTCGGCAACAAAGAATTGACTCATTTATTTTGCTTTCTAATTCATTTAATAACTAATGGGGCGTCTTAGTTAAATCCTCTGACATATGATATGATAAGCTACTTTATTAGTGAATTGTATGCCAAGGACAAGCTTATTTATAAACAAAGCTAAGCTAAGCTAAGCTAAGCTAAACCCCTGCAGGCTGCTGACCATTTCTTTGCAATCTATTTATTGATATGTATTTATCGCATTAAGGCTCACGGTCACACCCCCGCCGTCGTGTTTGTGAGGTGTGTGTGCGTGCGTGCGTGTGTGTCTCTGTTCAACGCGTGCAGAACACACACAACCCCGCCATCGCGGCGACCCGGGCCCACTCCCTGAGTATCGCACCGCCGGACGGCCTGTTAATGAGTACAGGGCGCCGCATGGTGGGGTTGGGTCCTGGACTTTGGTCACAGGCGTTACTGTACCACACAAAACACACACACACACACACACACACACATACACAAAGTGTTCAAAGTGCAGATGGAGGCCGGCCAGAGACGGTTCCAGCCGAAACGATCAACCGAGAGACACACACACACACTCTGCTGGGAGAATGACGGGTGAGACGCTGCGGTTCCTAAATATAGGAGGAGCCGTCCTCACCCGGCTCTAAAAATAAACGCAACATGCGGCGTCCCGTTCTCCCCCAAACAAAGAGCCCCCCCCAGGTTGCGGGCGAAGCGGAGAGAGCAGCAAACCATGAAAGGAGAGCGGCCCGATCAACAGGATTCACAAAGAGATCATATGACCAAAGGCCCGCGAGGGTTTCAGCTTTGTGCGCGCGTGCGTGTGCGTAACACACGTCCTCGATGTCTGCCTGCATGTCGTGGTAAAGCAAGGATCCGCTGGCAAGACTACACACGGACAAACAAACACACAAACACACACACACAGGCGCTGACTGTGTTGGGTTTTACTACGCAGACTTTAAGGAATCCGATTCCCACGAGGCCGGCTGGGCTGTGGGAGCCGGTGATGTCACGGCGTGCGAGAAGTTGGGGGTCGGGGGGTGATGTTTATGTGTATTTAGTCTGGACGCTGGAGAGGAAGCAGCTGACGTTCTACACGCGGCATCCAAACCTTCCTCATTACGGCAGGAGGATCCTTTCTCTTATGATTTCACCCTCAGGGTTCTCAAAGCGGAAAAGCGACATTTGAGCTTCAGAATCTGTGAACAGATAGTTTGGTTTTACTCGTTAAAGCCCAACATGAGCGTTCGTTATTTTAACCACGTAGGCTTTACCCAGCCTCTCAATAAATAAACCCCACCGGGCCCTCAGGCAACGCCGCACATCTTCCCCCCAGGGAAGGATGACGACGGATTCCCACTCAAGTTAAAACTTCTTAAAAAGTCTCATCTCCAACGCCTAAAATGCTCAGGAAGTCCACCAGGGTGACATCATTTCGTGGGACGATGCAGAACCTTAGTGCACTTGAGCGCATTCACGAGCGGATTATTGTTCATTTCACACAGGATCACCGTAGCAACAAAAATAGAGACGTCATGTCATGGAAAAGGCACTTTGTGTGTGTGTGTGTGTGTGTGTGTGTGTGTGTGTGACCTCTCCCTGTGGAGCGGAGTCAATATTTCAGAGGAAGTAGGACCCCCGGGGGACATGCTTACCACATAGTTACTGGGGAGTCACTTGAGAGTCTATTGAATCCTTCAGTGTGCACACACACACACACACACACACACATTCACGTAGTGAGTGTCCATTGAGCCCCTGCGCTGTGTGTGTGTGCGTGTGTGTGTGCGTTTCAGGTTCAGGTCTAACCTCAGGCTCAAACACAAACACGCACACGTAAACATCTGGCGTGACAGCGGCGCGCCATCCCCTGTGAGGTCACGTGTCACAATGCTCAGCTTCTCTGTGATGTCGTCGTTTCATTTTCTTTCACTAATCCTTCGTTATCGGATCTCAGCTCAGCTGTTTTTTTTAAAATGTTTTTCCTTGGATTCACTTGAAGTGACCTAAAAAAAATGTCCTGAAGCAGGAAATGAGGTCATCAAACTACTTGCGTTGCTCATTCACCTCCGGTCTCCCCGTCCACCAAGCTGTCACATTTGTGACCGATTGTTTTTCATCCACGACGTGAAACCACGTGACAGCAAACGAGGAAGATTTGACCCAAAAAAACAGGAACCGAGGAACACGGCAACCGTTGTCACAAACAGTAAACCCCAGAATGCAGCTTCTCTATTCCTCTGATAAGCAGGAAATGCCCCCCGACGCCGACCCCGACCCCGACACCAGCATTCCAGGTTCCGTGTGCTACCTGCTCACAGAACACTTTGTTTCATTTTCCGGGTTCCCTCGTCAGCTGCAGATATTTGGACTCCCAGCGGGTCGGGGTTGACCTTCCCGTCTGTTTTCTCTGCCCTCTGACTCTCCCGTCAGCGGCCTGTTTGTTGACATGAAACATCGGCGACAAAGGGGGTGAGGGGGGAGGTGTGTGTGTGTGGGGGGGGTGGGTTGAGTCTGTATGGGAAAGGAATGCCGCACGCATACCGCCCACGCACAAAAAAAAAAAAAAACACATCGCCGGCCCGGACACACATCGTGCAGGGATGACACAAAAAACGCACTGCTGCAAACATGCATGTAAACACAGCACGCGCACACACACACACAGACACACACGCACGCGCACAAAAGGCCTGTTGTGCAGCAGACCGGTCAAGCTCTTCCGAACCTGTTTTTCCGGCTCCGAGTGGAGCGGATGAATGTTTGAATTCAGGCTTAGAGCAGCACTGCAGAGTGGACGAGTCCCTGCAGCGCGTCGGTTAGCAGATGACGAACGCCGGACGGCTTAGACACCAAAGCGTCACACGGAACCTTCTCCACCTTTGAGTTCAGGAACTCAAAAAGCAAAAAAGGATCATTTCATCGTTCACCCTCGCGAGTCCGTCAACTAGAGAAACAAGTCCGGGTTCTCGCAGACAAACTAAAAGAATCTGCAAACGTGGATCGACGGCGATCATCAAACGGCCTCCGCTCCAGAAAAAAAACATTTAAAAAGCGTGAATATGAACCTTTAAAAAAAAGGTCACATTTTCTGACCCGGCAGGTTTGAGACCCGCTGGGTGCAGAAGTCCACCGCCTGCTACAAACCAAGGCACGGCAAAAAAAAAAAGCCTCTCCTGCCCACGCAGGGTTGCCCACATGGGAGGAATCTCCCCCGCTGGCACCACGTCAGGCCCACCCGCGTTACGCAACGTCACCCACCGAAAACAGACGTGCGCGAGAGCGGGCGTTTTCTCCACGCCGACTGATCCCATTGTGCCACGCTGGTCCGGAAAGAGTCGGAGTTGAGAAGACGGCGGCTGCCCCTTCAGCTCTTGGGAGCCACGAGGACTCACCAGGAAAAGGGAGAGAAGCAGCAGGCGGCTGATAAGAAACGAGAAGGGGGAATATGGGGGGGGGGGGGGGGCAGATTTCTCAGCTGCAGATCGTTTTCATTCGGCCCACACCTCCAGAAGCACCGATGCGTCGGGTCGTCGTCGCTGTGCTAATTAAATGTCAAAAGGTCAATCTTTCGACTTTTAAACCAGAAGGATTAAGAAGCTCTTGAAGTGCTTCGAAAAAGTGAATTTAACCAATTAATCTGTGAGTCTGTAAATATGCAATGTGCTGCTTCTTGTAGAAGAAAGTCTGCTTTTATAATCTAAAAATAGCAGCACACAATGTAAAAATAGATCCTCTTCCAGATGTTCCAAATAAAGAAAGATCTGTCCGAGCGCAAGTTTGTCTTTTACAACACGAAGCGTTTGTAAAAAAGAAATTAAAAAAACAGCTGCTGGCAGAACCAACTCCATCACTCGGGTTTGTTTTATCCTCCATGAATCACAGCCGGAGAGGCGGGAGGAGGTCGGCTGTCAGGAGCGTGAGCGAGCGAATGTTCAAGTCCAACACCCGTTGATTGGACTGGAGAGTGCTGGTAAGATGCAGCCAGCCGGGTGAGCTGCTCGATATTCAGTGAAAATCTGTACAGGAGCTGCGGCAAGTGCTGCTGTTCCATTTGTTTTTTTTGTTTTTCGAGGATACCAATCTTCTTATGCCAAAGACAACCTGTGTTTTAGTCAAAGGCAAACAACGAACTGTACGCACAGATAGCGGATCAGATAAACGCGCGCAGGCAGAAGGGTCACGGGCGCGCTAACAATTAGCTTACTTATTGCTCAGGGTGCAAAGGGGAACACGAGTCGGTGGACAGTTCTTCGGGTTGCTCGGCTCTCGGCTGCAGGGACCAAGTTACAACGAAGCATTTAATGGCGTCCCCGAAGAAACAATCTGGGAATGAAGATCGAATGAGAGGTTCTCGGGACGTTTGAAGGACGCACGGGCACATTTTTACGGTGGCAGTGCAGAACACAACGACAAATAAGAAAGCACAACGACATTAACGACGGACCCTTCCGATTGGACAGACGGACGGTCTGTCTTTTAACAGGGGATGATACAGGGCTCTCATTGTGCGTGACAGTCACGCATTTCGGTCTCTTGTCACGCGTTCACTTCCTCCCCTCATCACAGGATCTCCCGCCACTGATTTATTGACTGCCATAATATCTAGAAAGCGGCATTTCTCAGCTTTCAGAATCCGTTAGAATTACGTCGATTGTGCAAATAGTTAAGGAGTCACAGTAATTTGAATCCTCCACGTCACTTTCCGTCGCCAGGCGAAAGGCTTCGGACTAAGAGGGTTAAAAGACAGACAGTCCGTCTGTCCAGTCAGAAGGATCCGTCCTCTGCTATAAGGCCCTACCCTTTCCGTAAGACGTTAACGGCGTTGCGTTTTCCTATTTGCCGTCGTGTTTTGCACTTCAGAGCCACCGTACATGTTTGCTCTTTGGAGCTTGAGCACGTCTGGCCTGAAGGGAGAAGATCAAGAATTGTTTTGGATGCCATAATTCTGACATTAATAACAAACAAATTTCCGTTCACGTGCTCCGATACGTTACTGCGCCAGAAACGTAGAACGCGGTTCACAAGTGGATTACATTACATCTAAAGCGACAGAGAAAACAGGAATTTCTGGGGAAGTATGCGGGGCTGTGTGGTGGGGAAGTGGGCGGGGTTATAGCACGGGGAAGTGGGCGGGGTTATAGCACCACCAGAAAACACCCTGAATCAACTTTATTATAACATTAAAACAAGACAGAGACTAAGAATGTTTCTGGTCAGCGGCTTCTTAAAGAGCTTCCAGGTACGATCTGGGCTAAAGGACGGGATCAGAGCTGAAATGAAGAGGTTCGGGTGGAGGAAGGAATGCAGTAAATTATGGAGTCCTCTGATGGAGAGCAGGGAGTGTCACGGGCTGGTAATGGGAGTGCTTCTGAGCCGTCACGGCACATGACGAGGCCAACGGCTAAGTGTGCGTTGAACACAGAGGAGACAAAGGAGAGCAGGGACAGAAAAGGAAGTAGACAAATTGCACAATGCTTTGTAGGACATATTGTCAGGACACGTCCTCTCGATTTAGGTGGCACATAAGTGGCCAAACACATGACCAATACAGTAAAAATGAAGAAAAAGGATAATAATTCAATCCATAAAAATCCAAATTGAATTTCTCGAAGCCCCGGTTGAAATAATTAATTAATTTCTTGTTTTAGTCAACCAGGTTTCCAAATCACAAACATGTGTGGTTTAGCACCACACATCACAACATATTAATATTTGGGAAGCTGGGATGAGTATTTTTTGGCCATTATTGCTGAAAAAAGGACATAAAATGTGTGAAATTGTTTCAGCTGTTTTTTTTCCCCAATTCAATACTAATTTACACGTTGTAAATGTATGTTTCATTATAGGAATGAAAGTATTTATCATTATTTATCATCAGAAACTAGTAGTTTGATCCTACACTGTTATTATTCAAAACGGGCCTGAGGGTCACATGCAGACATACATGTGACCTGTAACATACATAAAAGACAACTTGTAAGCGTGTGTTGGCAGAGTGAACTTGTGATTCACTTGTGTGTTTTCTAAATTATGAACTCAAACCTCAACGAGAATAAAAAAGACACACAAGGTACAACTTGGTGAGCATTTGATTCTCGTGAATCTAGTGCCACCAATGAGCTACATTTGATGTATAAAAGAGGGGATAAACTATTTTATTTTCCTCATTACTTCCCCTCTGAGGTTTGAGACCGTGTTGACAACCGGCGTGTCATTAAAATTTCATCTCATCCGAAAAGGTCGCCTCATAGGCAACCTGAAAGGTCCCCTCGAGAGGATGGATAAGGTCGTAGTGCGCACACACACACACACACACACACACACACACACACACACACACACACACACACACACACACACACACACACACACACACACACACACACACACACACACACGGTGACGTGATGCCAGAATATAAAGTATTGATGATTTGAACTCCCGCCGTTCAGAACTCAACTTTCAAGAGTAGACGGAATTCTGCAGCAGGGTTGTTTGTAAAGAGAACACACACACACACACACACACACACACACACACAGTTGGATGCCTTTGCTGTGGGGATCTGACTGCCTGGGCGGCAAGTGAGTAGAACTTGAGACTTTTGGGGGGGAGTCGGGTCAGAGGGGATGCGTGTTACCACACCTACGCGGCCACAGCGTGGGACGTTGGGGTAGTAAAAGAAAAACAGCGTCTCTAAGTCAGATTGAAGTACTGTGTGTGTGTGTGTGTGTGTGTGTGTGTATGTGTGTCCACTCTCGGCCCAAAATGTCACGCGCCGCCAAAAGCATCTCTCGATCCACAGAGGAGCGAGCCCAGCGTGGAGATCCAGACACAGCGAGTGTGTGTCTGCCGTCTGTGACCTTGAGACGGGGCGCATGAGGAAAGGAAAATAAACCCCTGCGGGGGAGAGGAGGGAGGGGAGGGAGGGAGGGGGGTTCCTCACTGTGTGTATGTGTCTGTCCTCCCCTGAGAGAGAGCGAGTGTGCAGTGTGAAAAAGCAGCAAAGCAAGATGAGGGAGGTGAAACGAGGAGGTGATCAACGATAATACGTTTGTTTACAACAAACCTCTCTCCCCCCCCAAAAAACAACATCTCCTCCTGGTTAAACGTAGTCGGGGAGGAAACTCCAGCAGGAAGCTTCCTTCTGGAACTCTAAATGAATACGAGCACCCGCCTGGATTTATAACTAAACATGACCTCCGCATGGTACTCAGGAGGACAGGTGGTCGTCTCCTAATGAAACGCTTGATGCGCTTAGCAACCGCAGGCGTTATATCATGTCGCTTACGCTGCACCGGACAGGAAAGATAAATTGGACCCTTTAGAGGTTTTTTTCTTCTGGGGTTTTCTATGCTGGATAAAGTCCGAACATCAACGATCGGCCCCGAAAAGAGGTGAAAAAGGTCGAGCTCGGCCTGCTTGGTACTTCATTACGATACACAGTGTATCACACATCAGTATATAAGTCAAGAGCTAATTAATTTAATTAAATTGGTGAAGATTTTCCTGAAGGATCCGGTGGGGTTTTTGAATGTCGAGTGCTGCAACATTTACTTTATGAGCGCTGCCTCGTTATTAAGAGCCTCATGAGATCCCCTGCTGACCTTTCTTGAACTCCTCCAGCATGGAGTCCAGCTTGGTGTCGTGGAAGACGAAGTGCACCGGGTGGTTGTAGAACTTGGTGATGGTCTTCAGCGTGGTGCAGTCGTCCGGGTCCACGAAGGCCAGGTCCTTGACGTACAGGATGTCCACGATGTTGGACCGCTCGTGCTCGTACACGGGGATCCGCGTGTACCCGCTCTCCATGATCTCGGACATGGTGTTGAAGTCCAGCACGCCGTCGCTGCGGATCATGAAGCAGTCTCCGACCGGCGTCATGACGTCCTCCACCGTCTTGCTGCGGAGCTCCAGGGCGCCCTGGATCATGTTGAGCTCCTCCTTCACCAGGTCGTTGAACGGCTGCGTGACCTTCAGCATCCCCAGCAGCTTCTCCCGGCTGTACACGGTGCCGATCTCCTGGCCCAGGACGCAGTCCAGCACCTTGCTGATGGGCCACGACAGGGGGAAGGTCAGCAGCATGAACAGCTTGGTGACCAGGATGGTGTTGGCGCCCACCGCCAGACCGTGCCGGGAGCACAGCGCCTGCGGCACGATCTCGCCGAAGATCACGATGCCCACCGTGGAGGCCACCACGGCGCCGATCCCGGACTTGGTGAGGTCGTCCAGCAGGATGGTGAGGGTGGTGTTGACCAGGACGTTGCCGAGGAGCAGCGAGCACAGCAGGTAGTTGCCCTTCTGGCGGATGGGCTCGATCTTCGCCGCGTACTTCTTCTCCTTCTCGGAGCCGTAGTCCCGCACGATGCGCAGCTCCATCGGGTCCAGCGCCATCAGCCCCAGGTTGAGCCCGCTGAACATGCCGGACAGCACCAGCAGGAAGCAGATGAGGATCACCTGCAGCCAGATGGGCAGCAGGGACTTGGCCACCTCCACCACTCGCACCCGGCCGTCCCTGTCGTCCATCATGTACCACGTCTCCTCCTTCTCCTGCGTGTCGCGCACGCACACGCCGAACACCTTGACCACCTCGCTCTTGCGGAGCTGCTTGATCCGGAGGCTGACCACCCCGGAGGTGTTCTGGTTGCTCACCGCCATGGACCCCTTCACCTCTATGTCCTTCGTGAGTTCGGAACAAGTCCTGTTGACGGGCGCCGCCAGGGCGCCGAAGGTGTCGTCCTCCTTGTCGCTGGAGTAAAGTTCCGTGAACTTGATGAGCGCCGAGGTGTTCGGCAGCAGGCGCAGCCCGTAGAACCTGAAGAGGATGTCGCTGCCCTCGGTTACCTGGATGACTCCTCGCTCGGTGGTCCCGGCCGGCGTGTCGCTCCTCTCCAGCCGCATGCCGAGTATCCGCGGCCCGCTGCCCGACTCCGCCGCCGGCCCCTCGGCCCGGACGCCCGCAAGAACGCAATAAAAGAGGAGTACAGTTAGCGTGAACCCCCGTCCACTCGAGTCCATCGCCATGTTTGTTTCGCTCTCTGCGAGTTGGGGGAACTGACGTCACCTACTGGTTTCCACGAGCCCAACCTGCCCATTTGCATAACAGCCACCTCGAAAATGCAGCCAATCAGCGGGGGATACGTCATGCGACCGAGCCCCCTTCAGTCCTCGGTTTTAAGGTCGACTGTTTTTTCTGCTTCTTTTCTTTTTTAAGGTGGACTGCTTGAAGTTTAACGTCGCTAAATTACTTCTTTATTTCTTACTGATTTTATATCTCTAAATGAAACATTAGTGTATTTGGTTTCTAAGTTATTATTGAAGCTGAACAATATGAGTGCTGATCAGTACAGCTGAACTCACATAAATACCTCCGTTCTTTTACATTCTTCTTCATTAGCGGTGGTCCAGATTTCAATTTCAATTTCCTTTATTTAATCTCATCTCCAAACCTGTATTGAAGGAAATATGGGATTGAATTACATTTCTTTTCTTAGAACAGAGCTCCACCTTGTGGCCAAATGGCGCGCAGTGCAGCCTGATGGGTGAAGGTGTACGTTGTAAAACAGTGTGATTCAAATAGAAAGGAGCTTCCCGTTATTAACATTGACGCATCAATGTGTGAGCATCCTTTTATAAACAGCTGGTATTATTGCCCAAACAATTACATAAGTATATACATGCATTAGGTTCCTTCCTCTTGTTTAACTTTTTGGTTTGTGCACAAATGAAACCAACAATTTGCAGTATGTTCCTAAGTAAGTTTAAGAGGTGTTGGGTAGCCCAACGTCTTCCCAAAACATCTATTTGCACCACTTAAAATAATTGCCCAACCACCGATCTATTTGCCCATGCTAACAGAGCCAAGGTCTTTCGTGGGTTGGCCCGGTTCCGGTTGCTACGTGACGATGGCTCGCCACTGGACAGAAGGCCGAAGCCTCCCCTGGTTGAGATGAAGAAGAAAAGGAAAGACGAAGCAGTGGGTGAGGAAGAGGAAGCTTTATAAAGAGACTTCAGCTAAAGTGGAAGAAAAAGTTGAAAAGCAACAATGACGTCAAGGGGGGGAAAGAATACTCAATGATCTAAAGATGTGGCTCTATGTATTCTGTCAACACCGTGTGGTCATGCCATGATTCGAGGAAAGTTGAGTTACACTCAACACAATGAACATACATTAAATCCAAATGAATGTATGTTAATTGTAGGCTTGCTTTATATGACGCCTCTTTAGTTTTGAACGGAGAGCAGATTTCCTTGAAACCACCTTGATTTCCTCCTTTTGGGTCTCCAGGAAACTGAAAACCTCAGCTGGGTTTACAGAGACTTCTTATTTCAAACAGAGAAGCGGAGTAAAAGGTTCATGAGGATGTAGTCGGGTGGCAGTGAGTGATATCAAGTGGGAATGTTCCTCCGTGCTTTCTTCGGTGGGGCCACAGGACCGGTCTAGGGCGGCGTTGGGGGTCATGTAGCAAGAGATGAAGGAACACTTTAAGGAGCAACGGTGACATTTATCAGAAAAACTCCCACCGACAACAAAACAACCGTTGCAGCTGAAACCGGAAACGCAACTGAACAGGAAAGTACCAGAACCACCAAGTCCGATGAACCCCAAAGATCACCAACCTCCAAATGAGCCATTGACCCCCCCCCCTCCCAGAAGTCTCCTGTTTGTTTCACTTAGAGCTTCACTAGGGGTCAGAGTTGCCCAAAAAGTTTCTTTCTTTTGCTTTGGGTTTAATGTAAGTTTCCGCGTTTGGAGCGACCCGAAGAGCCTCTGCGCCCCCACCGAGGGAGGAGGGAGGGAGGAGGGGGGGAGCACGATAGAGAGAGAGAGAGAGAGAGAGAGAGAGAGAGAAAGAGAGAGGGGGGGGGCCGGAGGGAGGAACACCGCCCCCACCTCCTTCTCTTCTCCACCCTCGCAGTCGGGGGAGCGCTTTTGTTCCACAGCTCCGAGGACGCACGGTAAGAGCGCGCCGCGCCACCCGCACTCCGGCTTGACCTTGGGAGGGTTCGGGTGTGTGTGTGTGGGGGGTGTGGGCGGGTGACAAGGTGAAGGGGTCGACGAGCTGGGGTGTTGTTGTTTGGCGTGTGGGGAGGAAGAAAGGGAAGGGATGGAGGAGGAAGAGGGGGGGAAGGCAGACAGGCGAACAGGAAGCGTGCGTCTCCTCAACTTTCTGTTTCCGAGTCCTTCTGAACTTCTAAAGTGACGGAAGAAATGAGGACTTTGTGTAGAAGACAGCTTGTGTGTCGGTGGTTTCTCTCTCAACGCGGCTCTTGTCCACAACAACGACCCGCAGACTCTCCAAAAACGTCTTAAAGTCCACTTTAATGTACACAAACTCTCTTTTTGTAACAATCAAAGTGTGTTTTTCCGTTGGCTGCAGGTTTGCTCTGTTTTAAAGTGTTATTGGTCCTCAGAAAGGGAGGATGCAGTCAGTGTGTGGGAGTACTGATGATGATGATGATGATGATGAGTCCTATGAGCTGCGTGGCGGTGAGGAGGGTGTGAAGTTACCTTCAGGGTCACATGGTGAAGTAGTGAGGTGATACTCTGGATTTACTCTGTTACTGAAGTACTGACGTCAAAATACACTTAAAGTAACACTAAGTACTCATTATGCAGAACGGCTGTTATCCGAATCGTATAGTTTGTTTTTTTAATGATAATTATTATTACATCAAAGTCCTAAACGTGGAGCTGATTTAAACCGCTTTATGTATCTGCTGCGCAGCTCAATCTTTATGTTTAAATGTCTGCAAAGGTCCATTTGTCGAGATATCAGTCTGAAACACACTGAAATAACATGGAGAAGATACAAATATTTCAGATTAAAAACCTATTAAGGAGAAGTATTTCACAAAATCTACACGCACTAAATGAGGAACAAATGTTGTCATGTAAATGTGTGTGTGTGTGTGTGTGTGTGTGTGTGTGTGTGTGTGTGTGTGTGTGTGCGCGTGTTGCACTGCTAGAATCTGGGCCTCCGTGGCGCACAGAGGAAGTTACCGTGCGTAAAAGGTCAATCCGAGCGTCGGGGTTTTCTCGGGTAAGGTGAGAGGAGGAGCGGCCCGGGGTCAGGTGAATTATTCAGAGGTCGATTGTTCGGGTCTGTTGGTGCTTTGTGTTGAGCCCTCGTGTCATAACCGCACCTCACTTTTCCCATGGCGGCTTCCTCAGAGCGGGCAGCAGTTCATTAATCAGTAACCATCAGGGGGGCTTCTGTCTGTCCGGCTCTGTGGGCCAGTTGCAAAAGTTAAAGTAGTTTATCATCATAACATCTGTGTATAACATCTGTTTATAACCTATAAATACTCCATCACTAAAGGTATGCATTAAAAAGTCTCGGCCCCTGCGACGTTGATGCTACATCATTAGATGTAGCTGGTTTGAATGGCTAGAATATAGTTCAGTACATAGTAAATGTTTCTCAACCTGGGGGTCGGGCTACTTTCGAAGGGCACGGGCAGCGGTGGAAGTGGCCGGTGCTCTTTTTACTTTGAACTGGTGGTGAACTCAGCACATTATTGAGCGGTAATGTACAGTTGCTGTTCACATTGACCCGAGCGTTCCGTATCACTGCGCACTCAAAGCGACAGGTTAGATTTTGTGCGACTGTTAGTTAATATTTCAGTTCCCGAAAAAAGATCTTACAACACATCCGAACCGTTACATAAAGTAAAGCCTCTCGTACCTTATTGCTTAAATATGAATCATCATCAGTGATGGATTTAGTCTCAATTCAAAGTAGCGCGGAAAAGAAAATTATTTCAATTATCAATTTATCTTTTAAGTGACAAAACGTTGCGGATGGATGCGGCTTCTAAACTGTTATTAATACCTGCTCGTTTTCTCTTTTTCTCATGATCCTTAATGTAATATTTTACCTCGTTTTTTTTATGCCGGTTGCACAAACAACTCAAAGTTGGAAAGAAGACTCTAAACTTCTTTACTAAACGTTTGTGCCTCCTTTCCTCCCCTGTAAAATGTGTTCAACCTCTGTAGGTTCAGTATAAGCATCTTCTAGTTGCTAAACAATGTTGCTGTTGGCTTGATTTTTAGATTTTTCCCCTCTGACGTCACAATTTATTGCAAAAGAGTAAACGTAAAGTGAAAGGTTTTTGCAGGCAGGCACACAGCAGAGCTCTTGTGACGCCATCAGCAGCAGCAGGCTGTCCGCGTGTTTGTGTTTGTTCGTAGCCGTGCACGTTTGAGTCCGCGCAGAAGAGGTGCATTCTGGTCCCCCCCCCCCCCCCCCCACTCTGTTCCTGCCCTGCGCGCTGCGGTTTCCACAGAAGCTGCTGTTTTGGGCAATTAGCGAGAACACGCTATCAATGCTACTTCCTGCGATTGTCGAGTGAATGTAACAGGCTGCAACGAGGAGGGCAGATAGGGCGAAACAACACAGACGCCCAAGTTTAAGTGCTTCGCTACATCAACCCGCCGCAGCTTTCATGCAGGAGAGCGGCGCGCCGCTGTTGCTTCGCACGAGTCAAAGCCGTTCTAATGGGTCAATGTTCTGTCGATCATTAATGTGTTGATTGACTACTCGTTACAGCTTAATGCTCAGTTGCTCTGACAAATACAGTGGTTGTCTTCGAGCTATTTTTAGCAAGCAGCCTGATAAGACGAGTACCCGTTGAAAGAGATGAGACAGAAAACCTGTGCGGGGCCCTTTAAACACCAAATAGTCCCACATCTGGAGAGTTTGTGAGCTGTTTGCTGCTTAAGGAAAGAGATTTTTCTGTGGTTCCTTTAATCATCATTGGATCCAAAGGAGCCAAAGAGACACAAAACGACCTCGTAAGGGAAGTAAAATGATGGAATGGATGACAGGGGTGGGTCTGTGCTCGGGGGTCCACGACTTAAAGGACTTGAAGGCCTGAAGGCTGAAGCTGAAGCTCTTTCGTTGACCCGCAGAGCTCAAGAAGCCATGAAGTGTCTCTCTGGCTCTATTGGCGCCTCCTCGGGCCTCCTCCAGAGCTCACGCCGTTCATCCGGCACTCGTTCAGCCACCAGACGGGACGCACGCCGAGGCGAAGCGCCGCGAAAGCGCAGCAGAACCATCGGCTCATCGGCCGATCCCGTCGCCCCCAACGTCCCGCCGCCTTCCGGAGCATCCGCCGGCTTTCTGGCGTCAAACTGTTGTCGTCGGAGTGTCGTAGGCGGTCGCGCTGGCGGGTTTTCGGGATGAGAGCAGGGGTTTGGACGTGGCTCGGGTGGAGGTTCGAGCGCGCGGGAGAGACGCAGAGACGCTAACCTGCACCTTCAGACATGTCTGATTCTTCACTATGTGGCTGCTATTCAGAGCTGAACTCCACGTTTAACACAAAAGGCCTCCTCAGTCAACGATACAAAGACATCTGTCACACACACACACACTCACACACACACTCACACACAGGAGGAAAAGGTAGTTTCTTTCAGCAGCAAACAAGCGGCCAGTTTTAATAATGGAGCAGTGTTCGGTTTGAGAAACCAGAGATCACTAATCGGACAAGGCGGACATTCATCCGCGTGACCTTTGACCTGTTGAGCCAGCCACAGGTGGCTGTGACACTGGGACACTGTTAGCGCACCTTTGTCCACCTGGAACAGCATTAACCGCTGTCCCGCTCTTTAGTAAGTAATCGGTTGTGTGTGTGTGTGTGTGTGTGTGTGTGTGTGTGTGTGTGTGTGTGTGTGTGTGTGTGTGTGTGTGTGTGTCTGATATTGGCTTCCAGGGAGTTTGGGGGTATTTATACATGAATCTGCAGATTCGTGAAACTCGCTGGTGTTTTGTAATCTGTTTGTTGGTTTGAGGACACACAAACCTTTCATGTGAAGCTCAAAGACTGAGAACAACAACTGGATTCAATAAATGCTTTATATTGATTTTGAATGTTAAGATAAACGGAAGGATGAATCGTTCCTTCAGGTGTCCATGTTGAACTAAAACCACTTCTCCTTGACAAGGCTTTATAGAATATGAGTACAACAGCATATAAATGAGTTAAAAACATAAACATCCGTAAAACGCAACGTACACAAGAATACATTATTGATCATAAACCTCATAAATAATATTAAGATAACTGAGAGGGAACATTTTTCTGCACAATGGCTACTTACGTACTTTTAGTTATTTAAGTACATTTTGATAATAATAATAATGCAGCATTATATTTAACACAGAGCAGATATGAACAAAGGGGATTTACTTCAAGCTGCAAAAGGAGAAAGAAATCAAACGTTATTCCAGCTGATCTTCAGTGCGAGTCCCTGCTGACGTGATGTGGGAAGAACGGAAATCCCGTTTGTGCTTAATTATCCTCAGGATGACGTCACAGTGAGTGGACAGAACGGCATCATTCCTTACTTTTCAGACTTGGTTAAAGTTTAGGAAAAGATCCTAAAGTACCCGGGTGTGTTTAAAAGAAACCTCTTGTTTTTGTTTAGGAATCGTTGGTGAAATAGTTTGTTTCCAGCCTCTTATTTAGGAATAGAACAAACAAATCCTTGTTTGGGTGAAAATAACCACAGAAGTGATGTCACCAATAAGTCAGTGTTAACGAACAGGCCTCCTGGTTGGTTATTTGTTAAATGTCTAACGGACCCGAAGTCTTTAAAACGTTTTCATCACACAGGGGACTTTTTTAGTTTTGGTCCCGGTTTCTTCGTAGTAAATCCTGGAAAAGTCTCGAGTGTTGAAAACACACATGAAAACCATTACAAACCGTGTGTGTGTGTGTGTGTGTGTGTGTGTGTGTGTGTGTGTGCTTTACAGAGCCGTGGCATTCCTGTAAAAACACACACATTCTTCGACGCACACATGTGGCGGATATTTATAGGTCCAGCGCCGACGTCACCGTGGAAACCAGAGCTGCAAAGCTGCTGCTTCCTGTCCACGAGTCCTCAACCGGTCGTGGGCACACACACACACACACGCACACAAACACACACACAAACACACACACACACACACACACAAACAGACACACCCTCTATACTTTTACCTTAAGTAAAAGTATAGAAGTAGCTTATTATTAAGTTTGATAAAATTATAAAATATTATATTATTTCTTTTACTTTGAAGGGTAAATCTTGGCTATTTCGTTCTGTAAGTTTTTTAATATTTTATTAAAATGCATTTTGTTGCATATTATATATTAATACTTTTGAGGTTCTGGCATTAATTCTGACTTCACATTAATTGTGCTTCATTGATTAGTTTGATCCTCTGCATCGGTGTGTAAAATCAAATGACCATAACTACCTGTAACTAACTATAATAACTACCGTCGGAAGACGAATGTCACGCAGTAAAAAGCAGAATATTCCCCGCTGAAATGAACAGAAGCAGAAGTAAAAAGTAGTAAGAATTAGTCAAACACAAGCGAGGAGCAGATGTTGAACTCTGAGGGAGCAGACCGATGCTCGGCGCCTCCCTCTGCGTCACTGGAAACGCATCGAGAGGCTGACGCAAACCCACAGTAAACCCAACAGGGAAGGTGGGAGTGAAAAGGAGGAAGTGAAGGCACATAGAAGAGGAAGATGTATGTATACATCCTTTTTTCTACATCATAAAAATTGGACGTGAGAAAGTTACACTTTTGTTTTATAATGACAACTTCAAAATAAAAGCATGACAGGTGTTGGCTGGTTGACATGTAAACGTGGAGAACTGAAGAGAACCTTTAAGCACCGGGGACTCAGGCTTTACACCTTCTCCATTCCCCTCACACACTTTTCCAGTCAAAAATAAAATGCACTTTTAAAAGCTGCTTTAACCTGAGTCTTTATTTTATTTTTAAAAGCCAATACAGCCGGGGAACCATGACCTCATAGGTCACTTTACCCAAGAGCTGGTGGGCATTGAGTCATTCTCACTTTCACAGCAACGGTGATTAAACTCTAAACTTTCCAGGAAAACGTCCGTGTTTGAGGCGATCGGTCCGGCGCACACGCGTGTGTGTGTGTGTTTACTCCCGGATGATGAAAGTACCCGGTGACTCAGATTGATGCTTTTTGTGTTCAGTGCGGCAGTGAAACGTCTCTTCTTTTATTCACAGCTGATGGATGGATAGCAGGAGGGAGAGAAGATGTCGTTCTTCGGCGTGGAGCGTGTCAGAAAGAAGGAGAGAGGTGAGCCTCGGACGGATGGACTTCAGCCTTACGGTTCGATTCGCTTTCCTGACCTTGAAGACACCGTTCGCTAAAATAAACGGGCCTCCTGCAGCTGTTCCACAGCTTCCTATCGTATGATATGGACTTCCAGTCGTCAAAGTTTGGAATAAAGTGCTCGGAATGAACGGAAAATGTCAATTACAACTGACAACTCTGCAAAATAGTTGAATAATTAATTTCCCATCAAAATGTAGTGTAGCCAAGCTTGTGTTTCCTGCTGCACTCCTTCTAGAACAGATAATAACATACTAACACTAACATACTAACACTAACATACACAATACACACGGTTGATTTTAGAGTGAGCTGCTTGTGGAAAAGAAAGAAGCTGCGCCCAGATTGAAAAATTTAGAGATTTCTAAGCTGTTGTTTCAGGTGAAATTGGACGTTCATTTTCATGTCACTTTTTGGGATTTGATTGGCAGTTTTTAATGTTTATTTCTCATCCAAGTTTAAAATTGTATTTTTGGCCCTTCGTACGAAATTGGATGAAAAAGTCTGTCGCCATCGTTTTATACTAATTGTATTCAAATTGACTGTTATTAAACTAAATGCTAATCTAGCATGCTAGCATCCTCGCAACGGCAATGCTAACGCGTTGGCCGCCTGTCGACACGTTGTCCACGAATTTCACGGGATTATTTAATATTGTAAACGGGTCACGACAATCGCAGGCGGTCCGGTGCCTGCGAAACATCGGTCAAACCAATAACAACAACGTCTTTCTGTCTTTTTCAAACCAGAGCTGGAGAGAAAACTCCGCGCCAACGACCGCGAGTTCAACCTGCCCTTCAAATATGCGGTAAGTTGTTGGTGACTCTTAAACCAAACAGTTTGTTTAACAAATATTTAGAATATAAGCATTCCTTTTTGGGGGAAGGGGGGGGGTGGGTGGTGGAGAGGTGGCTTCTGGGTAAACTCATTACGCTCGGCGTTGCTGCAGGCGAGGTCGAAAGGTCACACCTCGGTTAGCTTTTCTTCTAAGCGCATGAAGGAGTCACGGCGCGTCGCCTCTGCAAGGTCAACAAAGAGGATGATGTCCAATGGGAATTAAAATAACACATTCTAAACTTCATTCATGTATCAAAATGGAAAGCAGGTGAATTAGATAATGTGAACGCTTTGGTTAAAACACAGCAGAGGTTATTAAACCGCTATAAATGCAATACATGTTTATTTGTACAGTACATTTTAACAGGAAGGCGATAAAAAGTTATTCACATGAAACCATTAAAAGCATCAAAGAAAAGAAAAGGAAATTTAAAAACATTGATTGTAATATAAAACAATAAATGAGCTTAAAATAGATTAAAAGTTGCACAATGTCTATGCAGAGAACGAGTGATAAGCGCACGTGGGGGCCGGCTGGCTGAGAGCCTTCAGCCTCCTGATAAGATAAGACCCACCTGGCGCGGAGCAGGCTCCTCCCACCACGCCGCCGCCGCCACGCCGCAGAGGTTCATCACATTTAGAATTTTTCATACAGGAATTCATCCACAGGAACGTTTTTAACCTTTTTAGTTTAGTGCGTAAGTGTTTCTAGAAAAAAAACCTCTGTGGAAATTCACTGAACGACTTCAGTTAGACAACGAAGGCCTCGAGCTACCGACTCATTCCGTTAATATCCGCGAAGGTGAAACTACAGACGAGTCACCTCTCTCACTATCGCTCAATAACAGCAGCGGCAAAACAAAACGCCCCTGAATGCATCACTTGGTTTAACTACACATGTCACACATTCATCGTTAACCTTTTCACGACCAATTCCGCTTTTAACACGCTACAAGCCATATTGTTGTAGGTGTTTTTTTGGCGGGATTGGCACCATGTCCTAGAATTACATAAGCGTTGATATTTACTCCTGTGAGCAAAAGCTTTCTGAAGGTTGTCTAATCTGGTTCGGGTAAAGTTTCAGTTGGAACTGTTCGCTCCATCGTCATGTGTGTTAACATCAACATTCCTTTAATATCTAGATGACCACAAAGAAAGGCAAATATTTGATGCGGCCACGTGTGATTACCCAGCATGCTCCTGTCTTATCATCCCAGATGCATACGGACCAAATTTCCATTACATTAATCCACTTATTTCTTCACCTGTGGTTGACTGTTTGTGTCCGTTTTATTTTTTTCAATGCTCGTGCTTCCAGCATGTAAACCACATCCAGACTCGAGAAACAAGAAACCTGATTCGAGACGGATTGAATTGATATTAGTTGATATTAGATATTAGATATTAGATATTGAGTGTATTCAATCCCATCCCATAACCTCTTCACCAGACGAACGGCATCAAGACCTCCAAGTACAACCCCTTCACCTTCCTACCCCTCAACCTGTTCGAGCAGTTCCAGAGGATCGCCAACGCCTACTTCCTGTTCCTGCTGGTGCTCCAGGTGAGGGAAACGAGCGCACACACGCAGCGCGCACCTCAGGCTTCCATCCGGCTGTCGGGTTAACTTTGTGAAAACGAGTTTGATAAGCATCACGAGAGTGTCGGTCCGCGGCGCGGCGCCGCTCTTAACCAATCATGAGATGCGTCCATCGTGTGAAGTGAGGAAGTGGGATCTCCAGCACAGGAAATTGCCTCATCGCGTGCAGAGCTGTCGCGTTGCACCACAACAGTTTTACATAAAAAAAATAAACTAGTTCTGTCTTCTTTTCTTTAAAATGTGCTTTTTTGTGTATGAATTCAGTTTTTTTAAGAAATGGTTGTCTCATGACTCCAAAACTTTCCAGTTAAAGATGAATTTAATCTCTGATTGTTTGCTGTTTTGCGTCGTGCGCGTTTGCTTCGTTGGCCTGTCACGCGCCATATTCCGCAGGAACAAATAACCCCCGGTTCTAAAGTGTGACGGTTCCCTGTGTGTGCGTCTCCTCCAGGTGATTCCTCAGATCTCGTCTCTGTCCTGGTTCACCACGGTGGTGCCTCTCGTCCTCGTGCTGACGGTCACCGCCGCCAAGGACGCCACCGACGACCTGGTGAGCAAACCTGTGCCGCGCCGCGTTTACTGAGAGGGTAGACAGTCGGTTTAAAGCGCGTGGAAAGGTTTCCAATCTGACAAACGACAGTAAAGATCTTCTTCGGCCTCTTTTAACTATTAACTTCGGGGGATCTTTCCATATCCGTGACCAAGGTTCCCGAGCTTGCCAGACTTTAACAGAGCGAGTGGACGAGGAGTAGTGGGCCGTGACGGGGTTCAAGGCAAAGAGACGGCTAGAGGGGGGGGGGGAGCCGTTTGGCAGAGGGATGAGTTACGGTGACTTCAGCGATTAAGAAAATGGTCAAAACAAAGCTGTTTTTGTTGAGCAGAGGAGGCAAACAATGTGGCAAAAAGGCAGCGAATAACATAACAGGATACATGACAGAGAAGAGAAGAAGTGAGGGAACAGCCGCCATCCGCAAAATAAGTACGGGTGACACATTCTAGCAGATTAGGGAGGAATTTCCACTGAATCCAGAGTGAATGACCTCGACAATAAGCATCGTGTATCAGTCACAACATGGAGCTGGTGAGCAGCAGTTCAGTCACACTTAAAGACACGATTCCATCTGCCAGATCCGTGAAGTCTTGCGACGAAGCGGTTCTCCTTTAGTGACAGTAAAATGACTTTAAAATGGGAGTTGAGACTGAAGTGATAGACGTTTCCCCCTCAGACATCAGAGCTGAACCACGCAGCAGTGGATTGTTCTTGTTAATGATTGACAAGCGGTTTTCTATTCCTGCCTTCGCTCACGAGAACCAAAACAAAACGAAATGTTCCTCCTAAAACAATGAAAGGAAAATGACTTTTCAAACCAATATGTACCTGTTGTACGTGTGCGTGAGAGTGTGTGCGTGAGAGTGTGTGCGTGAGAGTGTGTGCGTGTGTGTCCAACAACATGATGCCAAACCACCAAGAGGAAATAAAAGACATGAGTTAAACATTAGCTGTCTGAGGAGAACAAAAGCTCTTTGTTTGGCAGAGGTGGCGATCTGCCGCCTCCTCCCATCCCTCCCCCATCACTCCCCCCGTCAGAACCCATCTGTTGCTTTAGTGAAGCGTCACTAGATTCGTGCAGGCGTTGATCAGGTACACGCGAGCACACGCTGACCATGTAAGGCGACGCGGATGACATGACTCAGCAGAAACAACAGCTGCTGGGAAAAGGATTTTATCATCTGCCACCGACTGAATGAAGGAATTTAAAAGAGTTTGGGTTTTTCATTAAAATTTTTATTTTATGACCATAGATTTCTGCAGTTAATTAGTACCAAGCTTCATTTTCCGTTGTTTTCACGGTTGGATGACGATTATCATCTGATTCAGTGGCTCCCGGAATTGTTGGTTTTCCATAGAAAGATAGTCAGTGAAACATGAGTAAACATTTCTCCTTTTTTAATAGTGGTTTAACCTTTTTGTCAAAAAAGAGGCTTTTATTTATCGATTAGTCACAACTGGTGCTGAAACAGGTTAGTTTAGTTTTTAAGTCATAAAAGGGTCATAAAAGTGTTATGGCCTTATAATTGCTGTCATCATAAATTCGAAAGAAAGTTGAGAAGAAACTTTACCTGCCAGAAACAAGTCCAACAAAAAAACACATGACACTGGAAGTCTTTTTTTTTTAAATTTGTATCTTAAAATTCATCAAATCACAGAAAATAATTCAAGAGCTTCCATCCGGGTCAAAGTTCCCACCACTCATTGTAATATCCCACCTGTGATTTCTATGATTTTATTGTCGGTAATAACTACTATGAGGAAAGAGCAGTAAATATGTCAGCATGGCGTTTTGAAATGGCATCAGAAAACAAAACACCAGCCGCGTGGCCTCGTCGCCGCCGATAAGGGAAGTGGAGGTTTTCACTAGTGGTCAAAGAGTCGAACACGGCTGTATCTCTCACGGGAAGTTCCCATTTTCACCCTGTAACCCAAATGTCTCGCCTGCCCCCACAAATCAGCCCGCCTGTGTCTCTGTGAAATATCAGAACACATCGTTTCTCACCATTATTCCCAGTTCAACCAGTACATTGTGTCCCTTTCATGACGCAATGTTTCTTTACGTGTGTTTCTTGTGTGTTGCTTCCAGAATCGCCACAGGAGCGACAATCAGGTCAACAACAGAAAAGTTGACGTCCTTATTGACAGAAAGTAAGTTTGTTTGTGTGACTCGTATCATTGTGATTACATTACATGTCATTTAGCTGACGCTTTTACTCAAAAGAACAGCAGAAACTTAAAAGAATAGCTTGCTATAGATAAGAGATTAGTGTTTTTAGTCACAGTAGAGTCTGAAGTGTGTCTTTAGTTTGCGGCAGAAGACGTAAAGGCTCTCTGCGGTCCTGATGTCCTCAGGTTGGTGTTCCTCAGGGAACCTCCCTGGGTCCCCTTTAGTCACATTAAAGTCCTGTTGTTTGTGTCTCTCGGCCATGATGGGGGGAATAAGTCTGTTTAGATTCCACGAATAAATCACACATAGCTCACATATTTAGAATTGCAAACCTCTGGTCAAACGGGATACAAAACAAGCGCACCCCACCATCCTGCAGCTGCTTCCTGTTGGCAGCACAAGAGGAATACACAGATGGGTCCAAATATCGGAATATTCTATAAATATATACAAGAAAGGTCCGAAACATCCAACGCGTTTGTCCAAAAACAGAAAATAGTATTGTCGAACTCTGTACTGAGAGCTCAGGCATTGTTTGCTTTCCACAGATTTATTATTAGGGTGACTTTTCTTTTCAAAAATCACGTCTCATTTAACGTCTCATTTAACGTCCCATTTAAAAGGTGAAAACTATTTAAGTTGTGGTGAATTTGGGATTTGTTATCAGAGATTCATTATTTTTATTATTATTGAGGGTAGAATGTCATTGCACACATGTTAAAACTAACCGTGCTCTAACTTACACATTTCTTGTATTAGATGTGTTAAATATTTTTCAGTAACTACTGAGTTACGTTTTTAAATAAAAACATTTTAATAAGACACATTTTACATGAAAAACCTTCACAAATGGAAGTTAATCAAACACATTGTTTGAGCACACATAATACAGGAAGCTGCCAGGAACATGCAGTAATGGAAAAGCAGCTGATATCAAGATTCCTTTCAATTTGCTTATTTATGGTCCACTTTATTTCCTAAAAATCCTCAAAGAAAAACACGTCCTCTGAACTCTGCAGCGCTCCAAACGTTCAACCTAAACAACCTGTTTCCTGTCCTCAGACTGCGCAGCGAGAAATGGATGGACGTCCAGGTGGGCGACATCATCAAACTGGAAAACAACCAGTTTGTCACCGTGAGTGGATTCCTTCACATGTTTATTCCTTCTTTTATTTCCTCATGTTAAATGCTTGTGTTGTGTCCAAAAACATCAGCGCACCACGTTTTACTGAAGAAAAACATTAGAACGTTGCCTCGTTACAGTATTTGGGCCAAAAGAAAGAAAATCCACAAAGCGCTCCGTGAAAGCACAGAGTGTCACTGCTAATTGCTAATTGAAGAGTCACAACCGTTGCTTATTTATTATCTGTAGCCTAAATATGTGGTACATTGCTCTATTAATGAGTCCATGGCTCCAATAGAATGATTGGAGCAGATTTAAGGGTATAAATCCCTCTGCTCTGTAATCGCAGGCCGACCTCCTGTTGCTCTCCAGCAGTGAACCCCTCAACCTGGTTTACATCGAGACGGCAGAACTGGACGGGTGAGTCTTTTTCTATTTCTGGTGAGACACTCGTCTCTACCGCGTCACCCTCCCCGTTCTTTTACTGTCCTCCTCAGAGAGACGAACCTGAAGGTGAGACAGGCCCTCACCGTGACGGGAGATCTGGGCGAGGATGTCGAGAAACTGGCAGACTTCAACGGTGAGCCTGCAGCGAGACAACTTCCAATCACGAGCGTGCTGACGGTTTACAGGGGGGTCCCGCTTTGTCATATTCTGTGTGCATTTGTGTCTCCTTCTCGGTCGCTCTGTACCAACGCACAATGTGCAGAAACACCGGATACCTTTTTGGATGACTTTTTGAGAAAGACACCAGGCCTCCTCTATGACCATAACTCAACCTAGCTGTGTCAACTCCCTCCCTCCCCCCTTCCTTCCCTCCCTCCCAGGCGAGGTACGCTGCGAACCCCCCAACAACCGCCTGGACCGCTTCACGGGAACGCTGACCCACGCGGGCCAGAAGTACCCGCTGGACAACGAGAAGATCCTGCTGCGCGGCTGCACCCTGAGGAACACCGGGTGGTGCTTCGGACTGGTGCTATTTGGAGGTGAGGGGGGGAATGAACCGTGTTACAACGTTAGAGAAGCATCTGATTTGACTCTTGTTTCCCTCACAGACGGTTTCGAATGGAGGAAGATGTGACTCACTTTCTGTTCCTGTTTTTTGGTTTTGCAGGTCCGGAGACGAAGCTGATGCAGAACTGTGGGAAGAGCACGTTCAAGAGGACCAGTATTGACCGCCTGATGAATGTCCTCGTCCTCTGTGTGAGTTAATGGGTTTCACTTCTTCAATGAAAAAATCACACTTTGGAGTGTTTGTTTGTGGACGGATCAAATACAGTCAATCAAATACAAACATATTCTCACTTCAGATGCATCGAAAAAACATGAATAACTTATTTTGCACCTTTCTGACAGATTTTTGGCTTCCTGGCCTTCATGTGCGTCATCCTGGCGATAGGAAACTGCTTGTGGGAGCTGAAGGCGGGCTCCCAGTTCACAGTGTTCCTGCCCCGGCAGGACGGAAACAGCGCCGGCTTCTCCGCCTTCCTCACCTTCTGGTCCTACGTCATCATCCTCAACACCGTGGTGCCCATCTCGCTCTACGTCAGGTAAGCAAAGACGAGAAACGCAGCGGCGCAAATCACACACACTCGTCTGCTGCTTCTTCTTCTCAACCCTGTGATCTCGTGGGCCAGCGTGGAGATCATCCGCCTGGGGAACAGCTTCTACATCGACTGGGACAGGAAGATGTACCACCCGCGCAACGACACCCCCGCCGAGGCTCGGACCACCACGCTGAACGAGGAGCTCGGCCAGATCAAGTACGTCTTCAGTGACAAGACGGGGACGCTCACCCAGAACATCATGACGTTCAACAAGTGCTCCATCAACGGAAAGTCCTACGGTAAGGTTAACGTCCTCCCCCCATTTCCCCCGTTTCCTCGCTCCCTGATCCCCCGCCAGTCATTTTTCCTTTCTTTTCAGGGGACGTATTCGACTACGCCGGTCAGAGGCTGGACATCACTGAGGTGAGTTACGCTTCCGCAGTCCTTCACACCTGGAGACAATTAGGTGATGTGTGATGCCTCCCCCCCCCCCCCCTGCCCCCATCACCCTCTCCAGCACACAGATCCGGTGGACTTCTCCTTCAACCCGCTGGCCGACCCTCGCTTCGTGTTCCACGACCACGCGCTGGTGGAGGCGGTGAAGCTGGAGAACCCGGAGGTCCACGCCTTCTTCCGGCTGCTGGCCCTCTGCCACACCGTCATGGCCGAGGAGAAGAAGGAAGGTGGGGATCAGATTATTAGATCAAACTTCATGTATACGACCCCCCACCGCCCCCCTATGTCTTCACACTGTGCTTAGTATCATTTTGACTCGTTGGCGATAAACAGAAACAACAGAAACAACAACATCTCTTCCACGTGGGTGGGAGAGATTAAGAGCAACGGACACTGGATTAAATGACAAGGTGAGTCTATAAACTCACAGCATGAGCCCTCCATTGACCTCCGTGTTCCTGCAGGGGAGCTCTCCTACCAGGCCCAGTCGCCGGATGAGGGCGCTTTGGTGACGGCGGCCAGAAACTTTGGATTTGTCTTCCGCTCTCGAACGCCCGACAGCGTTTCCATCGTGGAAATGGGCGAGCAGCGCCGCTACGAGCTGCTGGCCATCCTGGACTTCAACAACGTCCGCAAGAGGATGTCGGTCATAGGTACGCCGCCCCCCCCGGGCCACGGCGCATTTGTTGTCGTCATGACCATACTTACAGCGCGTGTTTGTGCGCTCAGTCAGGAGCCCGGAGGGGAAGCTACGCCTCTACTGTAAAGGTGCCGACACGATCGTCTACGAGAGGCTGCATCAGTCCTGCGGCAAGCTGATGGACGTCACCACGGAGCACATGAACGTCAGTAACCTGCGCGTGTGTGACAAGAATTCATGCTTCCCGACCTGCCCCTGAAGTGTCGATCCGTGTGTGCAGGAGTTTGCGGGGGAGGGCCTGCGGACTCTGGCTCTGGCCTACAGGGATCTAGACCAGGAGTATTTCAGCCAGTGGAAGCAGCGGCACCACGAGGTCAGCACCTCCCTGGACGACCGGGACGGCAGACTGGACGAGCTGTACGAGGAGATAGAGACAGATCTGCAGGTGAGGGAGTGGGGGGGGGGGGTCGGGTTTAGGCAGCTCCACCTTTCCGTAGATCACTATGGAAACTTTTTTGTACACGTGAATGTGGGTTCTCTATCTGAACGTCTGCGTTCCAGCTGCTCGGAGCCACGGCGATAGAAGACAAGCTGCAGGACGGAGTGCCTCAGACCATCGAGCAGCTGGCCAAAGCCGACATCAAAGTCTGGGTTTTGACTGGCGACAAGCAAGGTACCCAGTTCCAAATACGATATCCATCACGTGTCTCTTTATGTTCGGTACGAACCACAGAGGTGACACTCAAGTGGGTTTAATCACAACATTGGGACATCCAGACATTTGTTCTCTTGTTTAAAAAACGACCCCTTTACATCCGGGTCCTGAGATCCCATCCTGTGATCTACATACTACACTACTGAGGGAGAGGTTTGTATCTGTCTTTTGTTTGTCTGCTTACGCGCGGCCTGCGTCCGACTCACAGAAACCGCGGAGAACATCGGCTACTCGTGCAACCTACTGCGGGAGGAGATGAACGAGGTCTTCGTGCTCTCTGGGAACTCTCCCGAGGACGTCAGGCGGGAACTGAGGTCGGAGCACGTTGGGACGGAACAGGAGGGATGTGGCCGTCCATCCAGCCACTACAACTCATATATGCGTACGAATTTTCAGAAACGCGCTGAGCTCCATGAAGCCAGCAGGGGACTCGACGGTCCTGCCAGAAGGCCCTCCGGGTAAACGCGGGAAGGTCCTGCCAGACGAGGCGGTGAATGGAGAGTACGGACTGGTCGTCAACGGACACAGCCTGGTACGCGGACAGGAAGCGTCCCCGAGCACGACGTTGTTCGCGACACCTGTGTGGCCGATTGCTTCGCGCTCTTACGCGACTCCTGCATCTGACCCCCCCCCCCCCGTTCCCTCAGGGCTACCCCCTGGAGCGCAGCATGGAGCTGGATTTCCTGAGGACGGCGTGCATGTGCAAGGCGGTGATCTGCTGCAGGGTCACTCCGCTGCAGAAGGCTCAGGTGGTCGAGCTGGTGGAAGAGTACAAGCAGGCGGTCACTCTGGCGATTGGGGACGGAGCCAACGACGTCAGCATGATCAAAGGTATCGCCGCGGCGACGGAGCAGCTTTTATGTATGGCCATTTTTTTTTTGGTCAACCGGCCAAATAAGCACATGGTTAAGGCTGTAAAAACAAGTTTGATACATTTTCAAGTAAATTTAGAGGGAACACAAAAACTAAAACTTTTACTAAAGAAACTAAAGCAGCTTTAAGTTGTCGGGTGCACAACCAGAAACCGGCTAACTGAAACATTCTTCACAAACAGCGAGTAAACCCGTTTCTTCTTCTGCCGTTTGTCCTCCCAGCCGCTCACATCGGAGTGGGCATCTCGGGTCAGGAGGGCATGCAGGCCGTGCTGTCCAGCGACTACTCCTTCGCGCAGTTCCGCTTCCTGCAGCGCCTCCTGCTGGTGCACGGCCGCTGGTCCTACCTGCGCATGTGCAAGTTCCTGCGCTACTTCTTCTACAAGAACTTCACCTTCACCTTCGTCCACTTCTGGTACGCCTTCTTCTGCGGCTTCTCTGCGCAGGTGAGGGGCCCGAGACTCTTTTGTGCTACTTCATACCTCTACTTCACTTCTTTTCAGAGATACATATTGTACTTTTTCCTAAAGCGGCAGAGAATTACATCACAAATACAGCAACCTGTTTAATATTAAACCAGTGGCTCTAGGCCATTTTTACTCTTCACATGAGTGAAGAGTAAAAGTGAACAATTTAACACACCAACAACAGCAGAAGATGAAACATCTCATGACCCCTCAGATTTATCTTAAGACTCTTTGGACGTGACCCAACTTCTTATCTATCTATCTATCTATCCAACTGTATATGAAGTAGTTTATAAATAAAGAAATAACTAAGACTGGGACACTTATTTATGAGTTCACTTGGACTTAAACTAGGATTATAAATGCCGGACTCTTACATGAGGAAGCATTTATATATCGTTGTACTGGCACTAGTATGTTTTTTTCTTTTCTCCACAACTGCTATTTGAAACATGTCGTAGATTTTGTTAAAATACTCCTTGACTTGCTTTTCAGACGGTGTACGACGAGTGGTTCATAACGCTCTACAATCTGGTGTACACCGCGCTACCTGTGCTGGGGATGAGTCTGTTCGACCAGGTGCCTGGTCACACGTTCACTCTTTTTTTTGCTTTTAGACCAGAAACAAAGCTGCAGAAAACATAACTTTGTCTCCCCCTGCTGGTCAGGATGTGAACGACAAGTGGAGTTTCCAGCACCCTGAGCTTTACCTCCCCGGGCAACTCAACTTGTACTTCAGCAAGAAGGCCTTCTTCAAGTGCGCCCTGCACAGCTGCTACAGCTCGCTGGTGCTCTTCTTCATCCCCTACGCGGCCATGCACGACACCGTGAGGGCCGACGGGAAGGACGTGGCCGACTACCAGTCCTTCGCCCTCCTCACGCAGACCTGCTTGCTGTTCACCGTCACCATCCAGGTACCGTGGGAACCCTTCTGCACTCTCTTCCCCCTTTTTGTTTCAGACTCCAAGAATACCGACGCATTTGTTGTTTGTTCTCCGTCCCCCGTGTCTCCAGTTGGGGTTGGAGATGTCCTACTGGACGGCGGTGAACACCCTCTTCGTGGTGGGCAGTCTGGTCATGTACTTCGCCGTCACCTTCACCATGTACAGTAACGGCATGTTCCTCGCGCTGCCCTCGGCCTTCCCGTTCGTAGGTGAGTGGAGACCCCACGCATGCATGTCGGTGTGCACGAGCACGTCTGCTCTGGAGAAAAGCTCTGCTCGCTCTTCAGTACGAGGCCCAGTGAGAGTAAAGGTGGAAGTGTGATTCAAATGTGCTCCCGGAGGCTTTGAATTGACTTGTGTCAATTGACTCGGTGTGTTTGAACAGATAAAACATCTGGTTTCCAGACCGGTCACCTCACTGATCAGCCTGCAAATAATAATAATAAGCTATAAATCAGATTTCCCATGAAAATCCAACTTCCGTAATTATTGTAACTCGAATGAAAAGCCATTTCCTAAACCTCGCCAAGTAGTTTTGTTACTTAAACTTGTTGTACTTGTTTCTCAGGAGTTTTGGGGGGATGGATTTTGCTTGGTTGGTGTTACTATGGTTCATCAAATCGCTCGAACAGTTATAAACATTTTGTATAAAAGATTGTTCTCTGTGGGTGTCGACGGCCCTTTGAGTCTTCTTTACATTCCCTGATGCAACGATAACTGTTATTTACACTCTGCTTTGTCTCAAGAAAAAATTGCTCAAACTTACTTTTGAGAAAGCTTGCTTATTTTAATAAATACAATATAAGTTTTGCAGAAAAACATTATACGCCTCACAGGCTTAAAAGGATTTGTTGTTGAAATTTTCTAAATTACATTTTTTCCCCCAAAATGTTGTTAAACAGAAAATACGTCAATGGCAATCAAATGTACCAATACGTCTGAATAAACGTCTGTGTGTGTGTGTTTGTGTGTGTGTGTGTGTGTGTCTAGGAACTGCCCGAAACTCTCTGAACCAGCCCAACATTTGGCTGACGATCCTCCTCACCTCCATCCTGTGTGTCCTTCCTGTCGTCACCTGCCGCTTCCTGTTTATTCAGCTCTGCCCCACCATCAATGACAAGGTATGGGTGGAGTTTAATATAAAAGATATATATATATATAATAACAATAGAAATATGACTAACAACGTGCCGGTCTGCTCCAAAACCTTCAGGTGATGTTAAAGGTGCGACAGGCCAAAACCAAGGACCCTCCTCTGCCTCGCCGCGCCCGCATCCGTAGAACCAGCTCCCGCCGCTCTGGCTACGCTTTCTCGCACGCGCAGGGCTACGGCGACCTGGTGACGTCGGGCCGCTTCCTGCGGCGCCCCGCCCCGTCGCGCTCCTCGGGTTTGGCCCACGCGGGCCGCTCCACCACGAGCTTCAGCCCCATGGGGAGGTCGGCGGGCTACAGCCCGACGGGGCGCCCCCAGAACGCCAAGGTCCAGGACGTGGAGGTGACGTCGCTGCAGATGTACAGGAGCGTCAGAGATCCCGCCCTGTGACGGACGGCTGGCTTTTTACTTCGGGGGGCGGGACATCTGGATGTTGCTGGAAAAGCTCCAATCTGTACATCCGTTAAGACGAAGGATCCGCTCAGCGTGCCCCGAGACGAGGTCACGGAAAGGTCGGGGCTTTTATTTTGTAATGGTTTCATCAAAGGGAAGCTACAGCAACATCTCGTCCTTTTTGGAACGTGAGTGTTCATGTGAAACGTGGCTCATAACCGAGGAGACGGTGAGAGGGGAGATTCACTTTCATGTCGGCATCAACCACCGTAGGAGGGGGGACGAGGTGTCACCATGTTTACAGGCTACCCAGAATTCCTTTCCCCTGGGAGTCCAGATGCACAGCAGGAACAGAGGAGACAACCAACCATTCGCAATAAAATATCACCTTTTTGTATAGGTTTTACTTTATTCTTAAATCTTTTTATTTTCCCTTCCCGGCGAGGTGTTTGTCCCGTGGCAGCGTCTCTTGACAGTGTCACATGAAAGTGTCACGTGACTGCGGCAGATGACAGCAAGAGAATGTTTCAAGGATGCCAAATGAGCCGTGAAGACAAACAAAAAGAGATCCAGCATTTTCTTTTTTCTGCTCTCATCACCTTCTATTTCCTCTTAGTGGAGTAATATGTCATTTGTTTTGTAAATTCTAAAGTACTTTTTCATGCAGACTCATTACCTCATGCCGGTAAACACAAGTGTTGTTTCTGGATTATTATTTGAGGATAAAATGAGTTTAATGGACGTTTTTGATTAAAGTACTGTATGTTACCTGGATTAAACCGGATCACATTTAGACCCACTTCAGGGCAAATGTAGTTAAAATACACAAGGATGTGTCTTAAATGATCCTTAATTGATCACCTCAGCATCACATTTTAAAATCATATCATTATTTCCAAATGCTGCGTTTTCTTCAGCTACTTTTTGTCTAATGATCAACCGTATTTATTCCACTAAAACGCCTGTTTGTCTCAGTTGTTTCTTGTTGGTTTTGTCTTTCTCTCTCAATTCTGGCTGAAAATGGGCGCTAGAAAATCCCAGTCTGCCTTGATATCGAAAGAAAAAGATATTCCTTTATATAATGCATTGCAGGCACTACAATGACAAGAATGTTTGATGCAAAAATATGATGTTAACAAATATATTTGTACAACACGTTCAATGACTGGCAACATCTGTGTGAAGCACATATTTTTAAACTCATGCACTAGCTTTATTTGATAGCCGTCCACATTTTCCATGTCTCGTGGTATCCATGGAGATGCGCTGACTGGTTTTATCCACTAAACTGTTTTTTCCCGGTGGCCCGGCCCTGAACGCACTCGCCCTCTGACCCCAGGGGTCAGACGAAAACTTTAGAATGATGAGCGGCCGTCTTGGGAGGAGGGAAGGAGTGAGGAAAGGAGGGAAGGAAGGAACAGCAGGATGATTCATCCCAGGCGAACTTGAAATAATAAAAAATATATACACAAATGGTCTGTGGAGGCGTTTCCTGTTTATTTGTGGTCATAATGAAAGTAAATTGTAGCCATAATGAAAACGTAAGATATTTATCAATATATATTACTGTCATTGTATCCCTGTTTCTCAAATATGACACAAATATACATTGTTTTATCTCTGCTCTTCCTGTTATCCATTTTGTATCTTTTGTACTCAAAATGCAATAATAAAAGATCAAAAATGTCTTTTCTGTTTTTTTCACCTTTTGGTCCATGAGTTGTAATAATCAAATTTTTTGTAAATGCATTAAGATAAAGAATCATCTTGTTCTCGCAAACTACAAAGAAAGAACCACACAAAAGGATTGATTCTGCTAAATATAAATAACAGACGATGCCCAACTAGAAGATTTCCGAATTAGTTGATTATCAAAACATTGTATCAGTCAAAATAGCACATGTTTAACTATTAATCTTAAGATATCACTTCGTTGTTCGCTTTATGGATTTTATTATTTCAAATAAAAGATAATATTAATTGACATCTTAATGGCAAAAAATAAGTATTCGGCACATATTATCTGCCAAAATGTGATTAAAATAAGAGTGAAAGCTTTGCTGCCCTCCTGCGACCGAAGATGCTCCACCTAATGACACAACAATGCTGCGTTCCCGGCCGCCCAAAATACGGTACTTACGGCTCCCTCGATGAAAAATGACTTTTTGTTCAAAGGTCCTGTTACAAAAAAAGTAATTTTATTGTATTGTATATACACAATACAGCATGGAGCTGTTTTTGGACAGGCGATTTTCGCATGTTTAAGTTGTTAAGTATTGGAAAATAATTCAACAGTTACCGCTAGAACGTGTAATGGCAAGATTTCCCATAGACCCCGAACGCAGCACGAGGACCGGACTTGCCTCACATTGTTAACGTTGATTTCTGCCGTTCACGCCACAGCATTTTCTGTCGCGAGCCGAAACCGGGGGATTGGGGGGGTCAAGGGCGACCCCACAAAACGTGTGGAATCTCGACAAGGTTCTCGGCAGCAGGACCGCGCACCGGGACGAAACTGTAAGACACTTTCCGCCGGAGAATCCACACAATTTCAGTCAGTTGTTCGGTATCGAAGTGAGAAAAAACAGAAGAAGAAGAAGAAGCCACGCAGTGACGCTCGGTTAAAACAAGCTAACGTTAATTCACGGTCCTTCGGCTACAGCGGCGGGTGGTGGTTTTAATTCACGGGGGGGGGGGGGGGGCTCGGGCGTCTTTTTAATTCGTGTTTCCAGGGGGGTGTGACGGTTCGTTTGAGCTGCAGGTGAACCGTGTCCGCGCACCTGCGCGGGTCCTCCCGTGTTCAACGAGCAGACTTTTCTCCGCGCGGCTCGTTTCCCATGACGACCGCGCGCGCGCTCACCGGGCCGCATTTTGCGTGTACCGGTCCGTGCCGTCAAGGTCATTTCCCGTGTGTCTGCCGTCACCGTGACCTATAGCCAGCTGTGTGTCTAGGGGAGGGGAATCAGGCTTTTTTGGGGAAAGATCAGGGACGGGAGTCGTGCCGACGTCGGTCCATCGATCCGTCACTCCTCACCTCCCTCTTCCTCCCTCCCTCCTCCTCCTCCCCCTTTTGTTGAACCCGAACGCCCACCTTTCTCCAGGCCAGGTTTGGGTGGTGTATTCTGCGCATCCCCGCTGAAGTGTTTGTGTTTGTTTTTTCCTCCTCCTGCTCCTCCTGCTCCACTTGGTCTGGAAGCCGGGGCCATGAGGCGGATCTCCGGGCTGTGACTCCCGCCCGGACCGGAGGCTGCTGGTGGGGATGGTGCCGCTGTGAAGAGCCCGCTGGTGCTGGTTTCTTCTTGCCGAAAGGGACATGCCCGCGGTCGGGGGGACGGGGAGGAAGTGCCTGGACACCATGAGTATTTTCAACCAAGACAATGTGGAGGATTTTTACGAAATCGGGGACGAGCTGGGGAGGTAAGTTTGATCCCTTGTTCTTCCTGACGCGTATTAACTTCCCCCTTTTCATGCTGTGATCAATGCTGGGGGGAGGGAGGAAGGGAGGGAGGGGGGTGCCTCTTCATTTTTCCCCTCTAAATTCACACGGTCGTTTTCCACCTTAGATGTTGATGTTCCATTGCTCTGCATGCAGATGGGTTTAAGCACCAAACGTGCAGCGTGTCTTTGAGGAGCCCCAGTGACATCTCGATGAATGCACTCCATAATGCATCGCCGGCAGTGATGGAGTGCTTAGCGTCTGTCACTGTAGCCGAAGCTGCCGGGAGATTCATTGCAGGACTGGAGCGGCACGGTTCCATTGTGCGTCCTTTTTATTATAGTGAGGGGATTTACATCGTGGCCGAGCCGGCTGTCATTCCATCCAGGCCGTGTTTGGGCAAAGGGGAAAGCTTGCCAATGGGGGATAAAGGAGTTGCATGTAAACGGGTGTGTTATTTTGTCAGGATTGTTGCATAAAACGACAAAGCAGGGTGATCACACAAAGAGGAAGCGATATCCTTGATCTGCCGTCACGTAAAACCACACCGGTTCCGGCTTCCTTTTGGTGCGGCGACTTGACATGGTGGTAACAGAAGCCAGGCGGCGTCCATCCTCACAGGAGATCGCTTCCCAAAGGAGCGTCAGAAACACGGAGATGGATCTCTGTGACTTTGTGCTTATCAAAGTGACACATGCATCTCTTGTTGGGAATAATAGACCAACGGTGTTCCTGCTCTCCAGCTCTGTGGGAGAGCCCTGCAGTCGCTTTAGCTGCTTCACTATGCTGCTTCGGTAATTGAGATGATTGGGGACGTTTGTGTAATGGGATTGGATTTCTGGCTGGGGGTGAAGGCACGGCTACGTGAGTGCGATTGGCGGTGTCATTCGCTCGTCGTTCCAACACCAGGGTCCGTTCTCCGTTTGCAGTCCGACTCCCAGCTTGACGATAGGGGCTCGTTCGACATTTTGAGTGCGCTATGTTTGTAATAAAGGCATCCTTGGAGCCGGTTGCTGTTCTGAGCGTGCACTGATGGCAAACTGCCCAGACAGCGTATCGCCCCCCGTCTGTTTTTTGGAAGGATTCCATCGCCTTACAAGACAGGAGAATGATGCATGACTTGGCGGTAACCCAAACCTTGTGCATGATATGGAAAAACACATTTTGCCTACTGTATGATAGCCGGAGTAATCTGTCAGTGGAAGGCAGGCTTTGCATGTTCTCTAAAAAAAGGCATGCACCTGGACCTGGACAGGTAGGAGACATGGTTGACACCACGAATGTGCACCTACACGTTCATACAGTGAAACGAGGCCATTCGCTCAATTTATTGCAGTTAAGACAGTTTGCTGAATCTGACTTGCAGTATGCAAGCCGTCTTTTTCATTGTGGGGACCCCCTTTTTAAAAATGACAAACAATCCTGACCTAGTTGAATAAGTTAATTCCTTTATACATTAGTAAAGCAAACTGAAAGTAAGATAGCTCTTGATATTGGGGCAAATAAAACACTACTTTAGGGCAAGACTATAAAAAAATGATGAGGAATATTGTGCATTTCTTTTCCCTTCATGCATTGATGTTGACACACACTTTTTTTTTTTTTTCAAAATGGGAAATCACTTCAGCCGCTCGCTGACACGGACCTCGGCGTGCACGCACGGTAGAACCAAAAGCTGCTGAAGCCAAGCATCTAAGCTTTCCTTGGTGTGTAGCTAACGGTGAGCATGCCGGCTCAGCATAACGAGATGGAGGCTTCGGGGAGAAGCGGCGCAGCTGCACAGTTAAATGCGCAGACGGAGTAACGCGTTTTTAGGTTGGTGTGCCGTCTTGTCCCGACTCTAAAGTGTATTTCTAACCACCGGCGTCCAATCTCCAGAAGGACTGATTCATCAGACCTCCACTTTACCGCCTCATGGCCGCACCAGCTTTCTCCGCCTCCTGTGTGTGTGTGTGTGTGTGTGTGTGTGTCTGTGTGTGTGTGTGTGTGTGTGTGTGTGTGTGTGGGTGTGTGAGTATGTGTGTGTGTGTGTCACGTATACACAGAGAGATGTTAACACAGAGTGACTGTATTGTGTGCTACAACAAGCACGACAACAAAATTGAACGACGCTAGAAGAGTGTACCAAAGGTTAAATTCTCTCTTCTACACTGTGACCAAAAGAAAAGAGTCCCGTTAGATTGTGTTTTAAAGGGGCTCCTGGTAGAAATTGCCACCTCAGCTCTAATGAGGCGAACGCATCTGTGCTCAGACGATTGCTCTCTAATTGCCTCACAGATTGGCAGAATATTCTCACTTTATGCTCGGGATCGGCGGGGGAATTACTGAAGACCTCGTGGTTAGTGGCGTCTAAAAGGACCTCCTCGAAATGATGCTTGAGCGAAGAGCAGCATCGTCGAGGCGTCTTTAAGGGTTTAGTAACGTGCTTTGAAAAAAAAAAAAAAACATTAAGGCTTCGGACCTCTTCAGCTTGCAGTGGAGGAATAGCAGCACATTGAAGATGATGTATGTTTTTATCCTAACAGGCTCCCTGATAGTTCGATATATTCTGCTACAGCCACATGTTCCGTTGACTATTCAATAAAGAGATTTGCTGCTTTTCTCTGTTGGGTATCGCTGTAAAGTCTTTGGGTTCTCTGAAAGCGTTTTTCTTACGTCCCTTGTTTATACATTTTAAATGGAGAGGACGCTCAGAAAACAAAATGAAAACATCCCCAGTTGGAGTCCTCAGTACGGAATATCGAGCATATTTCATTGTCATTAGTGCTTTAAAACCGCATTCATTTCATCATTTGAGAGGAAAGCTCAACTACCAATTAAATTCTAATGGGACCAAGCAGCTCTCAGGTGACTTTCTCCGGTTGTTTGGGGATTCCTTCACAATCAAGAGTATTTTTCCGCTGCAGTCAACACAAGAGAAACCCCGTCGCGTCAGCAGCAGACGACACCGAGTGGCTGATATCTGATCTTCTTCACACGAGGTCCAACAAATACCAACAAAGCTTTTAGTTTGTCCGGCCAGTCCTTCAGGATTACCTAAACCGGGTCCTTCCCCAGTCAAACACCCGAGTCTGCAAGAACAGATCCAGGCTGTTGGGTCATGTGAGTCGAGCTCCTCGGTTTCCATGTTGTCGTTTGTTCGCAGGCCTCCTGACTCAGCTGCTTTCTGGCTGACTCGGGAGAGACAGACGTCAACTAAAACCTTAACGGAATATATTTGTTGTTAAGCCTTTCATCTGGGCCACTGGGCTGTTTCGCACTTTGCATATATCTGCCTCTATCATTAGTCTGCGTTAATCTGACCGCTGTGTGGCTCGCTACCAGTCGGCCCTCCTTTTGTGTCTATAGTGTGTGTGTGTGTGTGTCTGCCAGCCAGTGGTAGAGGAGGAGGGGCCGGTGTATTTCAGCAGGGATTCTGCAATGCAAATGAACAGGAAGAACATTAAACTGGGACTTCATTGAGGTTGTTCCTCTGCAGAAATCCCTCCAAAGAACCGTCTCTATGAATGGGATTATAAGGCATGCACATCTGTATTAAGTATAGATGGATATACATTTTTGAACGTGCAAAATGAATGGGCCGAATATTCCCAAAATCAAACAGGGACGTCCTTCTTTTATTCTTTTTTTTAAACAACACACCGGCAGCAGCTACTGCTACGCACTACATGCAGACTCTGCCCCAGCCGCTGACCTACATTTACCCCCCTACCCTGGCTGCAGTATTGGATGGAGGGGCCGTCTGGGTAGCAGGAGTGTCCTTGATGGGGCCTGCCACACACACACACCCTAACCCAGCCCCCTCCACCCAAGGGAGCATGAATGCAACATTACCTCTTTTTCTTCTCCGCCTCTGAGGTTTTGGATCCGAGCCCATCGGATGTCCCGTCATTCACCCAAATAATCTTCTAATAGCTAATGCTTACAACGGCTTTCACTTGAGCTGGCAAAGAATGGGCAAATACCGAGTTTACACATGTGATTTAATTATGTCCCAGCCGTTCCTGTTTTGACCCCCATGTGAATTAAATGTTTTTAATCTGTAAATCATCCAATGAAAAATGCTGTAGCCGACAGGGGGGCGATGAGCTTAAAGTCTTTGCTGTGGTTTAGCAACGATCACAACAAAATATCTGCCAAATGTTTACAGTTGGCATAAGGTGAGAGTAAAGAGGTCAAATACATGTTATGGAAGGATAACATGCATTTACATTTTAGTCATTTAGTCTGGCACCATTTTTTCTTTATTTTTTTACAGCTCCGTGTGCAAAAGCTTCAGTCTGTATTGCCAACATCATGCAGCATTAGCAGTAAATGTGTCAGAGGCCCGCTGATATTCCCCTGACTTCAAGATCCTCCTGTAGGAGACGGACGGCAGAGAAAGAAGAGAAACCGAGGAGGAGGAGATTATGGGGCGGAAGTATTCCTGCACGCTTCCTCTTCTTGTTCTCTCTCTGGTGTGAGGCCCTCGTGACGGCTGCAGTCAGACTCCTCAAACCGCACTTTGTCTGGCGAGTCAGATTGAAATCCGTCTCACTCGGAATGTCCTCGGGGGGCGTAATGAGTTATTTTCAATTAATCTCTGCTGCAGTCAATGGAGGATAATTGGATCCCTGCCAACTGTGTTAGCGGTCGAATGGCAGGGGTGTCACGCTTTCTGTGTGTGTGTGGGGGGGAAAGCTACAACCCCTTTGTGGTCAATTAGGAGAGATCTGCAGGCAGTCAAGCGGGTGAAACCGAGGGTCTGTAATCGTCTAAACGGGGGGGTTGTTAAGACAACTTTCCTCTTTTCTCTCATCCTCCTCATGTCGCCTCCCCCTCAGGCACCAGCGGCGAGTCGGCTGGCCGTGCATGACGGTACCGACTGTAAGGAATGGTGGTGAATGTCATTCTGTCTCAACGTGCAGCGTTACACTCGTTTGTTATGTAAAACGTATCCAGCTGTTTTCTGAGCTTGGTTGGCAGCTCTCCAGATGTATTC